GGATTTCTGATCTCTGGGATAACTGATGCTTGCTCTCCACAGACTCCTCTAGTGCTGATACATTTTAGCAGCCAACACAGGAGCTCCTCTAACACTGGGCTTCTGTCCCTAACCAGAGCAGGAAATGCTTTGCATACAGGTGGGAGCATTGATGTTTGTGATATTACGCTAACCCTCTAGGGTACAGTCATCATGGAGGAAAAAAAGAAAAAAAAAAGTCTAGCCCTTCAGGAAAATTTCCTAGCAGCTGTCAGACCACCAACGCATTAGCAGAAGTCTCGTAAAAACATGTCAGCCGTGACTGAACAGAGCAGTACTGTGCACGCAATAGGGAACTGCAAGGGGGACCACGTACACTGCCTCCTAGGTCTCTCTCTCTTTCCTTTTTAGGAACACCACTTATTCCAACAGCACAGTTGTCAAGTCAGCAGTTGGGGCAGATGGACTTTCCTTTTTCAGCTCCATATTTTGCCAAAGCCACAGTCTGGAATCTGCCTGCAGGGAACTTACTTCTTTCAAAAAAAACCAAAACAACCCCCCCAAAAAAAGAAACACCCAAAAAACACAACATCCACATTATTGAGGGAATAGCAATACCTCTGCCCTTCAATTAAACCCCAAAGATGCTATGTACTTTATCAACTTTTTTAGCTTTGCTGGTTGCTGTGGCAATGCCATTCTGAGTGCAGCCCTGTAAGCACAGATCACAAAATGGTTTGGGTTGGAAGGGACCTTAAAGATCATCCAGTTCCAACTCCCTGCCATAGGCAGGGACTGCCAGTCACCAGATCAGGTTGCTCAGGGCCTCTCCAGCCTGGGCCTGAACACCTCCAAGAATGGGGCATCCACAACCTCTCTGAGCAACCTGTGCCAGGGCCCCACCACGCTCTGAGTGAAATCTCTGAATGAGATCTTGGCATAGCAGGGAGCTACCACTGAGTTTCCCAACGATGGAGAAAAATCTGAAAGGCAGTCTTCCACTTAAACCCAAGCATAAGAGTTTTGATCAGGTCTAGGTTCTTCAGTGATTACTCATCATGAAAAGAATCCAACAACATAAAATGTTGCAGTGGTTTCTGGTACTACCAAGGAAAAGAAAGTCACTCCTTTCACTGCCTTCCCACCAGGGAAATCCTGAAAAGAGGCCTTTGAAAGTGCTAAAGGAACTAGTGCACAGAGATATTACTGGGGAGCAAAGCTTTGAACAGTGAAACAGACCGTTTAGCCACCACTGAAGTGAAGGGAAAAAGACGCATATATCCTTAGTAACAAGTCTATGAGCTCAGTCCTATGTGGCCAAAGGGGATGCCTGTCCCCGCATATTTCAGCTAAGTTGGAGCCAGAAGCTAATTTCTGAAGTTAATAATCCCTGGCTGATGAGAATGAAAGTACACCCAGCACCTTTTTAAGGCCTTTACAAAGCAGCTTTTTGCTAGACATTCCTCACTAGCATCCCCTGTAAGGACAATTCCTCCTTCCAGAGACAATGCTGGCTCTGCAAAATGATGTTCTGCACAGAAGTCAGCTGCTGAATGTGCACAGGGTGTCAGTCAGGCTACCTGCCAGAACAGGGGAGCAGCACCTGTGGCCCTGGCAGGGAAGGCTTGGCCTCCAAGCAGTCAGCAAATTTCACTTTCCCTCTTCCCCAAACACTGTGTCGCAGGTCAGGGGAAGCTCACCCAAATGCCCAGCCAGGCAGCTTCCACACAGACTTTTCCATGGAGACAAAACCAGTTTCTTCTGGTGGAAGCTGCTCCTCTGGATGCTGCCCCCCAGGTGGTGAATAGTCAGAAATAGCTCTCCCCCATCTTGCTGAGGGCTCACAGAAGTGTCTTAATGTTTTTTCAGCTCCTGCTCTTGTGTTACCCATGCCATGCTCTTGTATATGGCATCTTGTTCAACCTCTTCCTTTCTACATCTCCCAAAGAGAAGAACATTTCCTTCTACCTCGGCCTGAGACACAGAACAGGTAGAACATTCGAGTAGCACTAACATGGACCCTCCAGCTAGGAGCTCTGCACAGGTCGTAGGCTATTTTGAGGCAACCATCTCCCAGGCAGGGATCTACCATAGACTTACTTTCTTCAGCCTTCTGCCCCCAACAGGTTTACTTTGCTCCTAGAAACACAACGGCAATGCATGTGCACAGGCAGCGTGCAGCCACCTCTGTGAGCCTTCCCGTGATGAATGGGTTACACACCGGTATCAGATATACTCCCAGGAAGGCCAGTCCCTACGTGATACCGCACGCCGTGTGATACTCAGCACTTCTTTGGGCATTAGCATAATTTCCTTGTAAATATAGTGGGCCCATAATTCTGAAAATTGATTTTCTCTCATGTGACCCTAAAGACCAGGAGGCTATAAAAGAGTAGTTAATTTAGGGAGGCAAGACGTAGCTCCCATCAATAAATCAGCCACTCCTACAGTAATAATTCATAAAGTGAGTTTCAGGTGGGGTCCAGGATGGACTCTGCCTGTTGATTGACTTACGTGAGCTAACTGTAGGGAGAGAAGCAACAAAGGGTGAGGTGAATGAATGCAGCTACAACTTAGTTGTAACTCTTCCTTCTTCACTGCATGCAGGACTTCCTCCTTGCCAAGCAAAATAGGAACTGCCCTCAACATCTGTATTCTGCTGCAAATAGAAGCCTAGACAGGGGAGAAAAGGGACGAGAGGCATCATTCATCTCTATGCTGATTACATTTCATTCTGCATTAGCTTCTATCATCACTCTATCATCCTTCACTTACAGTGTCAACACTAGGTATTTGTACCTCAAAGTCTCCTTCTCCCTATTATTAACATAATTGCCCTGAGGGTCATATTATAAAGCTGGAAGAACCTAAATGGTGTGGGGAACCTCTATCCTGAGGGCCCTGCCCCTGCCAAGCTACGCTGAAGCCTGCAGTATTGATAATAATTCCTCCCGACTTCAGCCAAAGCTGCTTTGCTACTGAGCTGGGCTGACTCAGTGTAATGAAAAGTGGGTTCAGGTCCACAGAACTCACATTTCCAGTTTCATCAGCAGGATTATGTGTTCCCATAGAGCTTAGTAAGGACAAGGACAAGAACTGAGGGGTAGCCAGGCTTCACGTCTACAAGCAAGACATTTGATCCACCTCTAACAGCAAAAAGCAGGAATTTAATACATCTTCTGGAGACATGAGGATATTTAATCTGTGAAAGGAGAAAGGTGAAGGACAGCAACGTGAGATGGATTCTAGTATGAGCAACGACTCTCTCCTCATGAGACTAATATCTCAGTGTAAGCAAATTGGTATTCCACCTGCTAATGGATTTAAGCAGCAGCTGCTGATTACTTAAAGCAGCAGCACACATTCTTACACACAGGAAATCAAAGGCTTTACACTTGCATCCTTCATGCAGGAGAAGTCTTGCAGGGGAGCTTCTCCAAAACAATTTCCTGGCTTTAGCAGGGGAACTACAGGAGTGCTGAGGACAAGCTTCAGAACCCTTCACATTTTATCCAAAGGTCTAAAAATGGGAGAAAAATTTGCACATTCACAGACAGCTTTGTACAGTGAAAGTAAGGAGCACATCCAAGGTAAAGCAGAATTTAACATCCTCAGTAGGATACAACACTTCATTATCAGATGCTTTGGATAGCCACAGAGAAGCCCAAAGCACTGAATGTATTTTCCTAGTGCCATCCTAGCCCTCACTTGTGCAGAGCTCCTGCTGCTCTCCCTCAGTTTCCTCCCTGCCTCACTAACACCACCCTCATGCTGCGCCTCCTTCCTCCCAGCCCTGCCTTTCCCTGCCCATCCCTCTTCCATTTGGATTTTTTGTCCCATCCCCTCTCCCCAGGAGGGTAAACTTGATACCGAGACCTCTGTGCCCCACTAGGGCTCCATCATCCTATCCCTTGTCTCACCAACCTCTGCCTTGCCTGGTCACATCCTGGCAGCTGGGCCTGGCCTTCCCCCTGCACACTGCCTAGAATTACCCTAGAAGAGCAGAAAACTCTCCTGGGTGGGTGCTGGCGAAATGGACAGGACACGGGTGTGGGAATTTACAGCTGCATCCATCTTCGGAGATGTTTGTGCTGCCCTCGTGCCCAGAAGCATCAGGCTCCCGCTGTTTTGGGTTCTGTACAAACACGCAGGAAGACAATCCTGGCATGGAAAACTTACAGCCTAAGCAAGAACAAGGCACAACATGCAGGGGACTTGAACAGAACAAAGTATAGGGCCAGGGTGGAGGTGCACAGTAACAAATAGAAGTTTGCTGTGTGTGTTTTGCAGGCTTCAAAGCTGTGGAAAAAATAATAGCAGGTAAAATGAAAAAAAAAAATCTTAGCAAGACATCCCTTTTATAGATTTTACATTCAATAAGAAAGGGTTTTTTGACTCACTGTATACAAGATCCATTACATATATGAAAGGATAAATAAAAATTACTTAGAATCCAGCATTTTATGTTTGTTATGAAATAAATATTCCTCTGTATGTCCATACTTCAAACACTCACTGCAGCTTTGGGCTGGTGCATGAGAACCTGTAAAATAGGAATTAACCGAGCAAGAAAATTGGTCACATTCACTGGTCCAATATGAAAGGCATAAACACATTAATTAATACCAGTTTTTTTTTTTTTCCACCACTTGCTATTACACACAAAAAAATCCCCTGTCCCAGAGCAGCACCCAGCAATTCTCCATGTCTCCACAGCTTGTCGCTCTCTCACTCCACAATGCCAGGCACCGCCCAGCACCGCAAGCTTCAGAAAGCGAGAGGTTGCTGGCACGGGGAGGCAGTGCTCAGGGCTGGCCACCCCATCAGAACATCCACGGAAACATGAGAAAGGAATTATTCAGCCACGGACCCCCTCCGAGAGCTCCAGGTGTCAAATGCAGTCTGTCCCAAAACATTGTTACACTGCGTTTCCCTCCTCCCTCTTAAGTTACACAAAACCCAAGAACAACCTGAGAGCAGACAGAAGAGATTTTGAAATCAGCATAGGTTTACTGAGTCCAAACTGTTTAAAGTTAAAGTTTATTTGTATTCTTTGTAGGAATATCAATAAAAGACCTCAAATGTATCTATATCTGTACATATTACAAGAACCTTCAAAAATTATTCACAGAACAAAAATAAATCTTCTTTAGAACAAACCCAGGCAATGAAATGCAGAAATGGATCTCAGAGACCAAACAGTCCAGTGCTACTAGCATAAAAATACGGCTTGAAAAACAAGTTTATTACTTTTTAAGGTGTACTTTGTTGAAATAAAAAATAAATTATTTAGAGCTATCATTGCAAAACAGTTCTGTGTAGTAACACTCTTATTAAGGCCCTTGAGACAGAAAATCTATTTTTACAGGTAGGATTCCTGGCAGGCATGATCTGTAATGACATGCTCTTTCTCATGGGAGTTAACTTACTGTGGGGAAGGAAATACCTAAAAGCATTGGCCTAAATTTAACCCTTTTTGCTCTGTCACACTCAGCTGGATACCCGTGGCTGACCATGCTAATCACAGATTTTATTATTATTTACATTTAACGGTTCAACTTGGACAGGGATTGTTCTCCAGAAATGACACAGACATTTTCTCAGAACACAAACAGGATTCATACATACATGGTGACCTCAGCAGATAAATATTGCTGGCACACTCCGCAGGTGCTGCTGTAAAATTGATTGACTTCAATCACTGAGTTTTCAGATGAAGTTAGAAGCTGGTGGGTTAAAGCAAGCATTAAAACATGAAATTAATATATGGTGTAAAAAAGACAAACCAAAGCAATTGCAAGAACATAAAATAAAATCAATTTCTTTGATGATTTATTAGATGGATACAGAATTTATTACTGGATACAGCACAAATTCTCTAACTAGAAAACATACACATCCCTTTCTTTCCATGCTCCTCTGGATCCCCTGCTTAGAGTTATTCCCCTGGGGAGGAACGTTGCAAAATGTGTAACTATATGAATCTGTGCTTTTACACATAGCATTTCCAACACACCAGGGATGTAATAGTTGGTACCTCCTGGATGTGAAACGTGCCTATTCCCCTTAAAAAAGGGGAATTTACAGGACACCACTCAAGGCTGGGCTTCCTCAGTTACCTATCCTGTAGCACTCTGCTCACCCTGTGTTGTGCACACACTCCACAGACACCACACACGACGTGGCAAAAGGCCACAGCGCTACAAAACGCTGCTGCTTCCCTGCCCTGCCAGGGAAACCCCGAGCTTTCATGGATAACCCGGAAAGCCGGGTGGCTTAGAGGTCAGGGGAGAGTCATCCTGGAACAGCACTGAGTAACACGGCCAGCAAGGGACAACTTCTCTGTTTTGGACTTAGGAATATACGAGTATTACTCTGACAGATTATTAATTTTTTTTCCTGCATTACTTCGGCTGTTTCTAAACGATAGCAGCAGTTGCTTGCAATAGCATTAGCGCAGCCAGATGCTTTTGCTGAATGTATGAACCAAAACCTAAGGTCTATAATGCTTATCATCCAATTTTTTCCACTATTTTCTTTCACTGCTGCAGAAACCCACTGGCATTAGTCTTAATACAGACGAGATCAGGCCCAGTTAGGGTTCTTGCTTGAAAACAGACAGACCTTTTGGCTGCCACGTGGCTTAGCACCACTTGAATTTTATCAGACTGGACAGAATAGAAGCTGGCATTTTCACATATTGTCGGCTTGAAGCAGCTTAAAATTTCTCTAGAAGGCTGCTTGGTGACAAACTAGGAGAGACAGCTGCCTGCTGAACTCAGGAGCAGAATGTTTTGTGCTGCAACTAATCAATTTTAGTCTTGCAGCATTTTGAGGCTGCAACCTTCACCTCCTTTTGGGTCAACAGGCAGCTTCTCTTCTGCACAAGGAGAGGAGTGTATTTTGCACTTGAGGGTAGAAATTGAAATAGAAGAGAAACAACTGGCCTACAAACTAGCTGTGAGTATGGTATCAATGGATCAGACTCTTTCAGAACAGCAACTTCTCCCAGTCTAAATGCTTAAGAAATACATAGGAGAAGGTACATCATTCAGAATGATACAGCCCTGAAGAGCTCACTAAAACATATCAACCTTGGTTAAACTTCCCTCTAAAACAAAATCTGCAGTGAAATGTTGCCCTATTGCATTTCTCTGCAGAAACCAAAGGGGACTCCTTGTAGGCTTCAGTGTTGAGCCACACAGCGCAGCCAGTGCTCTCTGATAGACTACCAGGAAGCTGGGGAGTTCTGGTAAAATGTGTTTCCCAAATTAACACTACACTAATGCTGCCAGCATGACATACCTGCACCTGCCTTGTTCTAGTCAATGTGTTCCTAGGACTGCTTGCTCTCATGCCTCAGTCGCAGAACACCCATACTGTTTGCCCTGGGTACTTAACGACCAATACATGTGGCCATCTGTGAAGGCTACTTCAGGGAACAAATTGCCCAAGATGCAGCTGTGTAGTTAAGAACATAGCAAAGGGGAGATGCAAATCACACAAAAATGCTCAACTAAAAGGGGGGTGGCAAAGGTTTCTTATAAAAGAGAGAACTACTCACAAGTCTGATTATTACACACCAAGAGTGCCTATGGCTGTGAAGCATGAAGGAGGAAGGAAAGGAGAAACTGAAAGGCACACTTTGAGGAAGAAAACAGAGGTCAGCAGTTACCCACAGCTGGAAGACGATTTGGAAAGTATCGAGAAGAAATCACTACTGAGCAAATGCAGTGCACTGCCCTGGGGGCATCAAAGACAGTGCTGACTTGGCTACAACAGGCCAAGAAGCAGAGCAGGATGCTGCCTGGCCTGTAGCACCACGTCACGTTCGAGCAGCCAGAGAGAGGCTTTGATCTGAAAGAACTAAGCACTGAAGATAAATCCCAACTCACTGCAGACAAGTTTCCTCTAGATGCAAATACCAGCCTTGTGAAGAGAGATTCACACACATTTTCCTCATCCATCCTACAGTGCAGGAGATGTGGTCTCTGTATTTATGCATAGTTAGTAACGTAACATACTTGTGTGACAATGTTTAACCAAAGCATCTTAACTCACAATAATCAAGGTGTAACAGTTAACGTAGTGTGCTCTGTCACAAACTGAAATTCGCCCACTGAGGCAAGATTAATTCATTTGCAAACAACAAACAAACTTGACAACAGACACTGAACTTGGGTCCTCAGTATTGCCAATTGTTCATGTTCAAGGCAACATGGGTCCATTTCAAGCAGTCATGGAATTGGATTAGAAATTGCTACATTTTTAATGTAGTACAATTTGAGAGATTCATAAATGAAGGCCAGAAAGGATAATGAGATATCAGCTCTGACCTTGTCCCTAGCACAGGCTGCACAATTTCAGGCAGGTACCCCCATATTCATCTCATTAACTTGTTCCTCGTTGAAGCCTGAACTGTTTTTGCTAAACACATCCCACCTCAAGGCATCCTTTGGAGGTTTTGTCCCATTTTTGATGTCAGCATTTCCAACTTCCAAAACTTATCTGAACAGTTAATCATATTCACTGTTATTAGTATATTACTGCAAATTAAAACTTGAATTGCTGTTGCAAAATTTTTACTTTCAGAGTTTGGGGGCTAGAGATGTATACCACCAAGTGAAAGGCAAGAGTGGCACACTACTGCTTGCCTCTAGAATCTGGGACTTTAAAAGAACCTCAGACTAAATATTGGGGCATTTGATAAAATCATGAGAATTGGCAATACTGTGCAATTTATTGTTAATCTTTTACTATTTGTCAATGTCACTATCTTCCGTGAAAAGGGCACTTCGTAATTGCACTGACATACAGCCTGTAAATATGCTTCTGTGAAATGCAACTGAAAGTAATCACAGGTGAAAGTTCAGTCAAAACTCCTTAAGAAAAGATGGTGTGTACAAAACTTAAAAAAAAAAAAAAAATCACCCTTAAAAGTATCCAGTGGAAATGGAAGATCTTTTAACAAAAATGTGCAGAAAGCATCTTTCATTGGAACTCGACAGGTTAAGCTAGTGGCTGAAATAGTGAAACTGAACAAAACATAATTAAAATAAAGAAATCTGCTAGGAAAATTGAAATTTTGCATACAGAAGTCTACTTTGCTGGGCATTGGCACCCTTTGGTTAGCTCTTTCCTCAGAGCATTAACCTGATTGTTCCTGATGGAGTGCAGAGAATGAATTCAGGATGCCACTGCATGGTGCATAAAGTGAGGATTGGATAGAAATTAAAAATAATAATAATAAAAAAGGTATTTACAGGTTTGTAAATTCTCAAAACAGAAAATATAAACTGCATTAGAACTGGGGTAAAAAAAGACAGAATCCTACCTTGAAAACTGCAGATTCCCTCTGTCTTTTTGATGGGGAGCCTGACTGTGTGCAAATGCAAGGAAACAAGCTCGCTGCTCCAAATTTTTACCTTGTTCAGAAAGACTGACATTTTTTTTTGCTGGAATCCTACCCAAGGTAGGTGCAGGATCCGGCAAGAGTCAACTTCCTTGCTAAAATGTTTGCTATTGAGTTGGCATTCAGTTACAGAACAGCTAGAGAAGAGGGGAATAAAACCAGCAGATGAGTTTTCTTACAGAGTTCATTTCACTACTATTTCATTCCACTCGTGTACTTGTATCAGTCAGCCTGATATATACAGCTGCTATCTAATGTAACCCACTGCTCAGCTCGCTCTCACCCACAACACACATGCACTCACATTCCCCTCTTCCCCCTCCAAGGACTGCAGTGCTTTCAACAAGAGAAAAAAATAATAATAAAAATAGCAATAATTAAAAAAATCTACAGTATTCACTTCCTTTTGGTATATTACATCGGCATTTTCTGTACATGACCCAAGAGCTCCAGCTATTTACACAGTGATATGGAAGGACTTGTTCTCGGGAGCCCGATTCTCCTGGCCTTGCGTGGGGAATTAAAGCCCACCGTTCAGAGTTCTTTCTCTTTTCCTTTTTATTAGCAGCATTATGTAAACCTGTAAGGGGAAGGGGGCTATTTGGGGAGTTTCTTGAGTCTGCTCCCTCTTGCCCTTCTCCTGGGGAGATGGCCGGCAGCATCTGCCCGGTTAGCAGCTGCTGTTTTTGAATTCACCATTCTCCGTGATGGAAAGCTTGGTGGGGTTGGTGGGGGAGATGCCATTGCGGACTTGCATGCTGTAGCGCTCCTTCACTTGCGTCAGGGCACTCATCAGCCGTGTGTTGGCAGAGTCCAGGGACACGATCCGCTTCTCCTGCAACAAACACCCCACAAAGTCAGAGCTCCTTCCCGAATAAAATGCCTTTGCCCCACAAGCTTCATTTACGGGGATTTTCCAGGCCCCGGGGCTGTGACAGTATCTTCAGATGGTTTCTAGGCAGAGGCAGCTTTGCTAACATTCTCTGGTACGATGGGATGTCTGCCTCTTTCTGTTTTCTCGGGGTGACGTGGCCCTGTGCACCGCGGGCTTTCCACGTGCCCGTCCAGCCCTCCTGGCCTTTTTGCATGATGGAAGGTGAGGGTGAGTCAAAGTTACATTGGTGAACTGGTGCAGTCACAGTGGCTTTATCCAGACAGCCTCTGACTGAGGCAGATGGAAATGTGGTATTTTGCCATGGAAGGGGGAAGAGGGGGGCACGGGTGTTGGCGTTAATAACAACAATAGCCAATATTTCTTTTTAATATGTTAGAAAAACAGAAACAGGCAGCAGAAAATAAAAGTGGTGGAAGTTTCATCTGGCAGAGAAAAGTGCAGGTGGTATCTAATGGCCATTGTCTCTCTATTTTGGATGGAATGTGCTCAGAATAAACTCATGGTATGTCTGAAATTAAAAAATAATAATAAAAAAAGCAAATAATGGCAGCCTGCAGTCACCAGCAGGGGTGAGGGTGCAATAGCAACATAGAAAAGAAGCAGCCAAAAGCTAAAACTAAGGGGTTACTTGAGGTGAAGGAGAAAGGGGGCGGTGTGGGTGGAGGGGAGATGCCATCGACAGAACACAAAGAACAAACACTGAACACACTGCTCCTAGACCCATTCCAGCTCAGAGGGGCTCCCGGGCTCTGCCGAATCCTGGGTTCCCACGTTTTGATACTTCCAGCCTCCTCTTTTAGCAAAAGTCATCAAAAAGCTAAATGATATACACTGAATTTATTTAAAAATAAATCAAATTGAAAACCCACCAACGCAACCCAGCCTACTAACAGATAAACCATCTGCATAGGGACTCAGTGCTGGAGGGGCAAGCTGAAGACTTGGTGGCACAATAGGAAATGGCAATTTTTGTCTTCCCTTTAAAAAAAAATGCACACACAGCGGCAGCAGAGATGGCAGCAGGTAAATACACCCTTCGTGCTGCCAGCTGATTGGCTTTTTTTTCTTTGTGAAGGAAAAACACCTAATTACTTGACTGGAAAAAGCTGCATGCAGGAACTCTTCTTCCCAGTCCAGCCCATTGAGAAACAAAAGGGAAGAAAAACAATGTACAGAAGGCACAAACACTAAGGGACAGTTCAGGCAAACTGCTGAGGAGACACAAGTGCTGCGCCAGCCCCTTGAGGTTTTGATCCCAGCACATCAGCTGTGTGGTACAGCTGTAATCAAGCAATGTTGGCTTTTTCTCAGTGGGCTTCCCCACAGGGGTAAATGTGAGGGTGTAAAAACAAAGCAGAATTTAAGCACTGCTTGTGCTGCAGCCCTGGAGAGACCAAGCTCCATGCAGCAGAGCAAATGGAGGAGGAGGTAGAAGTCAACAAACAGCGAGGCAGGCTACGGCCTGCCCTAGCACCTTCCCTGATCCAGTCAACATAAGCAAGGAGAATCGACAAGGGAGGAGCTGAAGGCCTCAGCCTTTCCCCTCAAATAAATGAGGGGGGGGGTATGTGAAATGTGAAAAAGATCCCATAAAAAAAAAAAAAACAAAAAAACAAAAACAACACAACTGCCTTAGCAGAAATGTGCTCTTCAGCAAGTTAAAGCTCCTCCTCCTCGAGCTAAATTTCACCTGGAATATGCATTTCAAAATTTTTTATTTTTTTTTCCTAAATAATCTATCTTTGCAGCGAGTTAAAAAATGAAAGGCTGGTTACATTCTGGCACCGATCAGTGCTCGCTGTACCATCCTGCACAACAGCTGGGAATCTACACCTGGAAAGTCCATCTTAAAAAGCATGAGCTCAGCAATTAGAGGCATCTTCTCGCTCAAAGGAAAATACCATCTGCCCAACACGTCTACCACACGGGAACTGGGCACAGGGAGTGGCAGGAGCTGGAATGGGTAGGAGGGCAGTGCTCTGGGCCAGGACTGGGTGCTGCTCAGCTAGAGAACTGATTGGGTTTACTTGCCTGTTTGAATTATCTCATCCCCATTTATGACCTGTAATTTAACACAGCGGAGATGTCACTTGCAATAGCAGCTGGGCTAATACTCTTTGCAGCTCCAAGGAGAGAGCTCTGCCAGACCTCCCCTGCTCGGCCAGGGATGCTCAGAGGCAGCTCAGAGGCAGCCTCCAGCACCGCTGCACACGCCGGGCACTGCCCAGAGCCAGTGCCAACGGCACGTATCCTGAGGACAAGGCTGTGCATTGGTGTAGCGTTGGATGCTGCACCTGGACACAAGGCTAAAGAGCAAATGCTGAAAAGCGTCTCGTGGTGATGTAACTAAGCAGAAGCAGCCCGGGTTACTGCTGGTTCCTAGCAGCCACTCCTCTCAAACAGGTGTGATAAGCCAGGTTCCAACTCCACTCCATAAATCTCTTGTGGAAAAGACCTTTTCTTATCCAGCCACTGCTATATCCCCTTGCTAAATGAATCACAGAATAAGAAAAAAATCTTTCAAGTGTGACTTAGAGGGATTGCTACATTAACTCAGAAAACACTAGGGCTCCTCTGGCGTCTGTTCTGAATCTCACTGGTTTCCTCTTCTGTGCAGGAACCCATGAAAGGGCAGCTAACTACCTTTCAGCCCTCCCCGTGAGCTGGTTGAGAGTGAAGCAGTCGAGGTTTGCCGATGACTTCACTTGCTCAAGGAACTAACAGCACTTCAGAAGAAAAAATGCATCAGATTATAAGAGGAATCATTAATGATACTGTTTTGCTACAGTCTTTACAACGATTTCCACTGCAAGTGATAAATTAAGCATGATTTGATCAAGTGGAATCAAGGGGCACACCTCTCCAGCCCAGAGGTTGTGAAGCCTTCAGAAGTCAGCAGCCGTCCCTTCCGCCAGCTGGTGACACTGACAGACCTGGCTGGGCCACCCTTGGGCTTGCTGGTCTGTGACCAAGGCTGAGAGCCCACTGGCACAGAGATAGAACAAAGGGAAGGGCAAGCTTCTTATTCAAGTCACAATCTCTCAAATCCTCCCCTCCAAAATAAATTTTCCTGTGTTTGCTCAGCGTCCCTTTCACCTTCTTGAGGCAGATGAAAAAGGCATCGCCTCCTGCAACAAGGAGGTGGCTGTTCAGACGAGCTGCCATCCATCAGTTCTAACAATGAGGTGTTCTGGCTGTGGGCTCTCCAAAAAGCAGCCTAACACGTTCAATTTGTACTCTAGCTTCCACCTGCCATACTGCCTGATCAGATTGGAGTGTGCTGTACTGTTCCCCCACTGTGATGAAAAAACAAAGTGACCAGCTACATTCCTGTTCCCTCTCCTGCACTGCACTCTCCCCTTTACATTTTGAGTGCAAGTCCTCACAAAAAGGGTTTCATGTGGAGTACATCTTGGGAAGGCCAATTACACCGGTGTCTTTGTGCACAACATCTTGCACAGTAGCTAGGAAATATGCAGGGTATAATTCCAGTAAGATTTTCTTTGTATTCTATGAGGTCGGATAACAGAAGTGCAGTGTTATTGTATGCAAGTGATTTATTCAGATTAGATAGTAAGGATCTAAAAATCCATCCCTCATCATTTCTGAAGAAAGGACTGTGGTAAAATGGGCAGGGGCAGCAGACAAAATGTAGAACTTTTCAGATTATCAAAAAGAAATCTGCTAAAAAAATATGCTTCTAACATCACCAGGCCTTTAAAAACACATTTTTTTTTCTCCACATTCTATTTTCCCTGCAGTTCCTTGCAAGCTCAAACGTTTCTATTACTGCTGTCCATTCAGCAGGAAAAAATGGCCAGTGGATGCCCTTCTGTGTTCACTTACGCCTACATTCAAAAGACACCAGTAGCATCTTTAACAATATTCAGCTGAGGCTTTTATTTCCCCCACTATACATAAAGGGAAAGAACTTTCTGAAACAACTGGGGTCATTCCTGAAACGGGTAATCTGAAAGATTCTCTCTTACTAAACTTTACAGTTGGAACTATTGAAAAGCCCAGAAGCAGGGGAGACGTCCTCCAACTGCAAATATCCCAAACGTAACGTGGCAGGCAGACACCAAACCAGTCTCGGGTTCTGTTGTACAAGCTTTGCTCTCTGGGATCAGCACAGACACAGAAGAAAAGCTGAAATGATCCCACACAATACACCCACATGCATTGCCCACTGGGTCCCACCTCCCCAAGCTAACTTGTGTTGACTGAGACAAGCACCGCGGGTTTGTGGCGAAGGGGGCATTTCTCCAAGACTGACGTGGACAGTCAGATGGGGTGAAATGCCACATACGAGGTTACACCGGGCAATGCTCCACTGCAAGCATTCTCTTTTCTTGACTGGAACGTTCAAAGCCGTGCTTTTAGCTCGCATAGCTGAGATGCATGCACATGGCAATTAAACTATGCTGGTATGAAGCACAGCTTTTCCAGAGTTCCCAGGCCCACACTTGGAACAATGTCTACACAAAGCATCACTATTGATTTGCCCCCCCTGGGATCTCATGAAGTAGAAGAGGTTTTGGAAAAGCAGTCAGTCCCGTGATTTGCTGCCAGGCCTGCTCAAAGCCTGGCATTAGACAGCACAGTCTTTATTAATTAAAAACCCAATTCTCTCCTAGAAGGCAGTAAGTCACATGTGCAACACCACGGGCCAACACTGGCTTGGGAGCTAGATAACAATGCTGGGGCAGGAGGATAGGAGAAAATAATGGGTTCTATGCACAGAACACTTGGTTCTTGGAGATCCTAAGGCTCCTTACCTGTGCATCAATAATTTTCTGCTTTGCATCGATGACAGCTTGCATCTCTGCATGATCCTTCTTCAGCTCCTCTTCAACTGCCATGAGTCTGGTGCACAAAGAGAGGTACATATTAGGACAGGTCAGTATTACTCCAGAGCACTGAAGGTACTATGGCTTGTTGGATTTGACTTCTTTGCTTGTCCTGGCTCTGCAGAAGAATTCTGCTGCACTCTGAAAGGCTTATTTCTCCATCTGACACTCCCAATTGGCTAACCTTATTCTCAAAGTGGACACTGCCAAAAATGCAACTGCTCTGGAGCATATTGCCTGAAGAACAGATTCCAAACAAAGCAAAGAGACCAGCTGTAAGAACAGCAGAGACCAGAGTCAAAATTCCTAATTCTTTTCCTCCACTCTGCTGGCAATCTGAGGAGAGTTTCCACACCTGTAACTCAGTTTTTTCTTTTTCCAAGGAAGGATGCTATCACTCCAGAGACGTTGAGATGCTCACACAACTACCTTCTTCAGTGTCAAAGACAGCACGTGCTTCTTGTCCTAAACAGTGCCACACTTTCAGAGGCCTTACCTGCTGATAATACTTTTCATCTGGCTGTCCTTCTCTTCCTGTTGCCTGCGCAGTCTCTCCTCACTGTCTTCCAGCCTGGACTTGTACTCCATCAGCAGCTTCTGCATTTGCTGCTCTTGCACTAGGAGTCGCCGCTCATACTCCTCCAGCCGGCGACTCGACACCTTCAGGCGCTCCTTCAGCTTCGCTATCTCTTGTTCATACTGCAGGTGGGAAGGAAGAAGGAAAGAAGGAACAGATCACGTCACTATAATTTTCTGATGTTTAGAGGCAACGCTTCTTTCATTAAAATACATTGATAGAAGTAAAGGAAGTGGCAAGCAAGTAGCTGTGACAAAGGACTATGCAGAGCTCTCACTGAGCATTAGGCTGTTCTCACGCTGTAGGATGTCATTCTGTAGCACAGTCTAAGCACTCTGATGGCTCTGACATGGCTCCTCAGTCCTGGCTGGCAACATCCGCAGTTATTCAAGACTCAAGGGGTTCCCAGACAAAAGCTGCTAACAGTAGAAATGTCCTGGGGTAAACATGGGAAGGGGGCCACTACAGCACCCCTACAGCACCCAAGTGACTCATTCTTCAGTACCATGCCATGAAATCAGCGCCTTCAGCCGGGACATCATTCACTGCACGTTTACGTGGCTAAGGATTTGTTCTCCCATTTACTGTCTCCACAGACAATTGTTTTTACAGTAGTGGAACACAACATGTTCCACTTCATTTTGGGTTCATTCACCTTTCCTAAATCCTATGTTCCTGTTTCTTGTCCGACAGATGAAATCTGAATGCAACTACTGATGAAGTCTGAATTGCACTTAGAGAGCCATGCGCAATCACTTAGCATATCCTAAACTATACTCAGTTGGATTTAACAACTGTGTTTTTTTTTAATGGAGTTTCATCATGACTAAAAAAAAAAACCAAAGCATTAAAAAAACAGCAGTATAATGTAGCTATAATGTCATCATAAAAAATAATGACTTGAAGAGGATCTCATACACTCAGGCAGTGTGACTCACGATGCAAGTAAATGCCAAATATCAGCCTGTTGTCTCTAAGCCCTCCGCTATGTCAGTTTGCATCCACCTGACATGCTACAGCCTGTAATTGTGTCAGTCTACAGTACGGCACGCTGTGCTCTGGCTATGCGTGACGGCATGTACAGCAGGAAGCTGTGCCAATGCAACCTGTGTTTGAAAGCACAACTCTGGCACAGCAGCACTTGAAGGCCGTTCTGAACCCAGCCCTGGGATGGACAGGACTCACCAGCAGCCCCCAAGTGTGCTGTATACAGAATAAAATCTACCTTCTCAGCATGCTTGGCTTCATCTGGATTCTGCTCTGCATCCTCCTCGACTTCTTCATACTGCCCGTTGTTGAGAACCCACGCAGCTGTCCTCTCCACTGGTGACATTGTGGCAGAGTCCACAGGCGACTGAACCTGGAACAGAGACATTTATAAGCATTTCTCAAGGAAATTACACACAAATCAGCTCTGAAATAATTCATTTGGAGGAGAAAAATGCCCATGGAACTGTCGGTCTCCAAAGAACCCCCAAACCTTTCTTGCAAAGAGTCTTCATCCTCCCTTGACTTCAGGCACACAGCACTTACATGAGTCCCTCTAAAATCACTGCACTTGAAATTTTTTTTTCCTCTTTGTCTAAGTGAACATCTCTCTGGAAAAAAACACTGTTTCCAAATCCCATTCACATCTGCCTTCCCCCTTTGCCAGACTTTCAGTAAGGCTTCCTCAACCTGAGGTTTCTCTCTCAGAGAACAGAGCAACGAAGCTTCGCGTGCCCGGTTCAGGTGAGACAGATTGGTTGTGCTGGACGGCTGGGGAGCTCGAGAGCAACTTTCTTGGCCAGGCTGCAGGCAGGAATTTGCTACAGAGCAGGAGGCTGCATGGCTTGGACAGGAGACAGCACAGCAGTACTTAAAAGTGCCAAGAGGCGTAATGTTATCACCATAATGCCTATCACATTTCCGTGGTTTATTGTAGCATATGCACCCAGTCAAGGCTGTGAAAGGAAATCAGGGCCAGCAGTGCTTACCAGGAGAACTGTAAAACACAATGAGAGGCTATCCTCCTTAAGGGAAGCTGAAAAGGAAGCCAAGAAGAGAAACCCAAAACTCTCCACCCAGCTGGGGAAAACATGGCTTGGTACAAATTCCAAGCAGTTCTCATGGACAAAGACAAGTTTATAAGCACAGAAATTAGCATAGCAACTCCTGAAAGAGCAACGCTGTCTAAAAGTTTTCAAGAAATGCAAAAGATCAACTTTTCCCTCATCCATGGCTTTGTTTTGTGCTCAGGCAGCCCTTCAGCAGCCTGCCTCCTGTCAGCACTGCAGGCAAGTGAAAGGTGCTCTGAGGCAGTGATTTTGAAAGTCAAAGCCTCAGGGAGGGGCTCTTCATCAGGGAGTAATTGCTTCTGAAGAGAAGTTGGTGAGGGATCCTCCTGTCATCCTCTATCTGGGGGGCTTTTGCACATCCTGCAGCAGCTGCAGCGGCTCCACTGCCCTGCGGTCTCCAGCTCTGGGAAGAGCCTGAGCAAGGACAGGTACGAACGCAAAGGAAAGGGGGAGGAATTTGGGGAAAAATGCATGGTTTTAGGCAGAGGCTTTAGCCTGGGAGGGAAGGAAAGGCTATCAGCCCCTTTCAGCTTGGCCAGGCTCCTTCGGTGAGACTTCTCTAGGCAGCTGTGGGACAGGACACCCCACACAGTGCAGGGCTCTGTCACCAGCAGGCTCTCCTCCGAGGCAAGGACTTTGGGAATTGCCCTGCAACAGACCACTGGGCACCAGCGAACCTCCCCAGACCACCTTTGAGCTGCAGCACCGAGTGCTTTCAGCAGCCATGCTCAGAAAGCTCACAAAGACCAAGAGGATGGCGAGTACTTCAGATGCCAAAGGTTTATGATTTACTCTTAATAGAGAAGAAAAAAGGATCGCCCGCTAGGAACATGTATTAATTCCCCTCTTTGCCTCCCTTCCAGAGGAACACACTGACATTTCTGTTCCCACCTACCTACTAAATGGAAATGGAAGGCAAAAGCTGACCTCTCCCAGCGAACAAAGGGCCTCACTCTACATTCAGAAACAAATGGGACTTGTGGAGAACAGAGTCTAATAATTATGACGCCCACAAAGCATGCCTAGAAAGAACATGCCCAACTTCTCTCTCCTCGCTTTCCTTTTTTTTTTTAAATAAGAGCAGAATTCCACAACACGATTTGCAATTAAAAGGACGCAATGGAATTTGCCTTGAAAAAAAATTTTGGCCACTCAATTTGGCACAACTCAAGACATTCTCAAGGGTGTGGGGAAGGAAAGAACAAATTGATTTCTCTACAGTGGGAGCAAGCACTCTAATGAATCCAGTGAAAACAATTAGCATGGGAAGGAGAGTGGAAAAATAAGGAGACGCACGCTGCATACAAGACAGGGGAAGGAGACTGCCCTGGAGCCAGTCTCCCCAGGTACCTGATTTATTTGGGCAGCTGCAGTCGGCAGTGGAAGGATGAACACAGACCAAGAGGTAGGCAGCAAGCAGGGGACGGAGTGTTTCTTGTAAATACAGAGGGCAGAAGCCACCTGTGCAAGGTGTACATGTGAAGGCTGGGGACAACAACTGTCTGTTCTTCCTGCTCCTTCCTCATCCTGACGCCCCCAAAGCAAAGCCTCTCCACGTATCTGTCCAGGCCCTTCCCTCTAACAAGCCCTGAGGAAAGGCCCCAGCTCCCCGGTGCTTTCAGCAAGGACCCAGGGCCGTACCATAAACCACAGCAGATCAGCCAGCCCAGGTGCTCGCAGGGGCCATGAGAGCAGCAAGGGAGGCTGCCTTGTTACCTGCATCCCAAACTCCTACCACCTCTGCGCTGGGTTTAGCTGCAATCCAATATACTTTACCTAGCAACCCTTCCTTGCCCAAACGCAAAACACATGCTCAGAAGGAGGACACAAACACACGCACTTCAAACAACAAGCAATTACATTTTTGGTATTACTAACTTGGCGTAACAGCCTTGGCTTTGTGATTCAGTGCTTCTGATCTCCTTGTGCTGTAATGAACTTCAGGTATCAAAGTAGTTTTGAAGCCCTGATTGCTCCTGGGTTCCCAGGCACCATCTCGTTTAGACTGTAACACTCAGGAGGGTTTGCCAGGAAAGCTACAAGGATACCTGGAAAGCCTTCAGCAGAGCAGGACCTTATGCTGGCAACTAAGTTCTTCTGCCAGCTTTGCCTTATAAGCCAAATCCTTCCCCTGCACAACCACGTCTCCGGCAGCACCTTTGCCAGCAGGGCTACTCCCATGAGGAGGATCACAACCTCCTGCTTCTTGCAGATGGAGCTGCACGGACAGCACGGTGCAGCCTCAGGGGCTGCAACTTTTTGCTGCTGAAGCTCATGCCTCCGTGCAGAGGCAGCATCCTTCCTTGGTCTTGTGGAAAGCCACAGCTTAAAAAATGTCCTTCTGAAGCTGTTAAGGTAAATCAAACAGTCCCATGTTTACCCCTGCAGTGACCACAGAAGAAAACACTTAGCCCCAAGGAACAGCACAGGTGTTGCCTCACCCTGCCCAGCTGTATGCACCAACAGGAGATGCCTAAAAACAACCACCTTCCCTCTGACCTGCAGTCAAGACATTTTCTACCTTTGCTGCAGCACCAAGCATTTAAATACTTATTTTCCTCTTTAATAGTGAACATAGCAAATGCTTTTCATACACAGCAAATCACAACATTTTTTTTCAAAGGTTAAGGAATGTTGTTTTTTTTTGATAGGGAAATCTTGATTTACAGTTGTCTATGAGCAGCTGATAAGGTGTATTAGGAACGGGTACATACAAACACTCCTTTCCAGAAAGTGTTTGCATTACTCATAGTTTGGGATGATTAATGAAAAAACAGCATTTATTTGGGGCCAGAGTAGGTTGTTGCATCATGGTGAAATATAGGTCTCTCCACACTTACACTTAGACAACTCTACTTATTTATTATTTTGGCAGCAGCTTAGTTCATGATACTTCATCTTTGTTTATTCTGTGTTTTTAGGTAGCTATGCTTTTAAATTAGCACCACAGGGCAATGCATTCTCCCGTGACAATCTTAACTACCCTTTGGAACAGAGCTGCTTCTACTTTTTTATTCGGGAAAATTTTCAAGTTTTGTTTCTTTTAAGGTGGGCTGCTACCTTACTAAATGCAAAAGTTTTTTTATTTTTTTAACTTCAGTACAAAAAGGACCAGAAATAATATGCACGCTAGGCTTGCCAGGCTTGTAATGGTAACAAGCATGACTGTTCATTCACCCTTATTACTGGCCGCTTGTTTAAGTGTCACCATCCCATCGGCCAGTACTGATTCAGCTCCATTTAGATCAAAAAGCCTCGATGGTCAGCGCAGCAACCAGCTAAACATCAAAGCAGAAACTGCCTGGGAAAAGGCTTTCCTTACCTGCTGCGTTTGCTGCCTCTGAATCGCCCTCACCTTGGGGACAGGGCTCTCTCTGGAGGAGGAGGACTGCTGCCGGGACCGGCTCCCGTTCTGGATGGGCTCAGTCACCATGGCCCCCGACACCCCCGACATGCTGCCCGTGCTCCGCAAGGACGCGCTGTGCGGCAAGGACTGCGGTGCCTTGGCCCGGGCGCCCAGCCCTTGGTCCATTTTGCGGATCTGTGCTTGGCTGCTGCTGTTCTGGCGGGGCAAAGCAATGGGGACGTGCTTGTCCGTGACTGTGTGCCGCCTGGAGAAGTCCTCGCTCTGCGTGCTGCGCTTGGTGAAGTCCTCCATGCTGCTGTTACTGGGCCCACTGAGCTTGAAGTCTTCGCTGTTGCTTCGGCTGCGGGAGCTGGCGGTGCTCAGGTTCTCCAGGCTGGAGTCCACAGAGGCCTTGGGCATCGGCGGAGGAGGGTTGTTGAGGTGGTAAACGGGGTTCTGGAAGGACAGTGGCTGGAGGCTGCCCTGTTGGTTCAAAGCTGGGTGCAGGGGCCTCCGCACCTGGGGCGCGCTCTGGGGTGTGCTCTGAGCTTCCCACAGCTGTTTGATGTTGGCCACCTGGGTGATGGAGAGCTGGCTGCCGGCCAAACGCAAAGGCACGTCGTGCATGATAGAAGCGTGGTCACTGTGAGCCGTGTGAGGATCCTGCAGGTCCATGAGGGAAATGCTACGTCCATTGGGCAAGATGCTTTCCCTTTCATCCTTATCTGAGTAAGTCATGCTCTGGGTGGATGCCTGCTGAACCAGCAGTAAGGTCTTGCCCCTAAAATATCCATCCACGTTTTCCTGGGTTGGAGACTTCAGCTTATGCAAGTCACTGTCGAGAGGAAAGGAATTCAGTTAATTTTTAAGCAGCCAAGACCCTGAGAGACCTGTCCCAGAGAAGCCTCTTTACCTCATTTAACCCTCCCTCCCCTGCTCTGAAAGCTTCAAGGAACTGGATTTCCTTTCATGAGCTCTCTGTGTTCAAGTCAGAACACACTCTTCCTTAATTACTGCTTATCTTTGAAAATTAAGTTTGATTCAAGCAGTGCTTCATCTTTATTTTTCACAGGTGAAATGCAAACCAACCCCACCAAATCCTTCCCCTTTAGACACTTTTATTTCCATCAAGACTTCAGAGCAGTTCAGTTTCCATTTAACCCTTCACCTACGTTTCAAAATTCAGCAGGAGTTGCCTAAAGGCTCCTGCAGGTCTAGAGGACAGACGCGTCCATGTGTCAAAACTGGCCCTAGGGACCTATCAGCACAGAAACTGCACAGAGACCACGATACACAAGCTCTTTGGCAGTTCTGCCACATGCCAGCTTTTTGCTTCAGATTAACAGCAAGACTGCTTTTTAGCAGCTGAAGTTACTGACTTTCAGCAAGGTGTTTGAGCCCTGGGTAAGTAAAGAGCTTCAGATCTCAAGTGCCACCTTGTGCACCTCGTACTGGCAGCGAGTATTCCCGGAGCACAGAGGCCCAAATTCCCTGCTGCTGCAGCTGGGCTGACAACTCAGGAGAAGTTCTCAACTCTTAAAGGCTGGTCCTCAACAGGTCCCTTCTCCCCACACCACCCGTGGGCTCTGGCTGTTACATACCCATCAGTGGGGTCCTCAAATATCTTCTGAAGCCCTGAGGAGAGACTGCCACTGACGTTTGGACTAGAGCTGTGCTCAGTGAAACGCCTCAGCTGCTGCTGTATTGGCGTAGGGTTGGTCATTGATTTGGTGATGTCGGCAAGAATACGAGGAAGGGGTCCCAGTTTTGCCACGGTCGCCTGTAGGAAGGAATTTTCACCCTAATTGGACAACAAGCACCGCGACATCCGCCAGTTTTTTTTGATAACGATGCACAGAGGCGGAGGGGTGGAGGTGGAAGGAAGGAGGGTGGGTGGTTGTGTGCGGGTGTGCCAGGGCCGTATGCAGTGTTACGGAGCAGCGTAACCACGACGACGAGATGGATGGAGGAGACGAAACGGGGTGCAGCAGACATTGAGGAAAGAAAAGGAAATAGAAAAGAAATTAGGATTGACCCCCAAAAATAAAAATCATGCTCAACAAAACAGAACTATGGCCATTCCAATGCAAAACTATCATGCAAAGCAAACTAAGTCCAGGCTGGGTAAGGTCAAAGTGAAAACTACGGTATCTACTCATTAAACGGCATTCAAAGACTACAGATTTAGCTAGTGGGGGAACTTTCCAGGCAAAGGGTGTCATGTGGTAAAGGAAATGCATGCCAACAGACAAGGGGATGCGGCATTCACGGGGATCATGAGAGAATTGCAGGGGTTGAGGGAGATGGGAAAAGGGGAAGATTTCATTCATAAGCTTTTGTATTTTGGCATCCTCTGCTGATGCCACCTTCTGTAGCAACTTGTTATCAAAAATTAAGGCATTCTTTCCTACCTAAAAAAAACTTCATGAGAACATCAGTGATCCTCATCCCAACATTATCACATCAGACTGGGATTAAACACACAGCTTTTCGTTCAGTTACATATTTGCTCAGCATTGCCTAGGCCCAGGAGAAGGGCAGCTGACACTCCAGTGAGCAAGGCTGCTCATACAGGCTCTTTATTTTTCTCCCCTTTTGGGTCACCGCTGGTTACATCATCTACAGGGCACCCACAGCCTCTTGGGTCTAAAGGAAGAAGGTGAAAGTGCTGGAGGTGTACCTTAAGGTAAAACCTTGCTGGAAAGACCACTGTCTTTTCAAAGCTATCCTTATTTTTCCTGTAGGCAGATACTCAGTCGGTTCAACCCTAGGGAGAGGTCTCTTTACATTCACTTTCTTACAGCACTTCTTCTGCAGCTATTAAAATCTCCGAGGTTCTCTCATCATTTCCCAGTCATTACCTGCAGTAAAGCGCTATTGCAATGTAACTTTAGCCCTTCATTCTTCTCTTAGCAAGCTACTACACTAGCCCCCAAGGGCTGGTTAGGATAGATCCAAGCATCTAACCTACAGAAAGGGCAAAGCAGATCTGCTTTGATGGCTTAGCCAGGTGCGGCTCCTCCCTTTAAGATATTTATGACTTTTACACTCAGAAAGCAGCTCCCTAAATGCAAGGGCTAAATGCAAAGATCCATTTGCAGTTCTAAGGATTGGAGCTGGGTTTCTCTTGACCTGACACTTGAGCAGCTGGAAGGATGGAAAGCTGGAAAGATGGCAGTGTTTCCTACACTGATGGGCTTACCCGATTTATAGGATTGGAGGAACTGGTCTTGAGTGCTCACTTTGCTTGTTTTCCTGAGGCTGCTGAACTGTCTCTATAGCAGACTTTACTGCCTGTGACATTTTGAATGTATGCTGTGTGCATGTGTGGGGGAAATGGACAAACAAGACCATAAACTGTTATCGAACAACAATTACCTAATATTAACATATGTTGTCTTTTTGAGTCAAGGACACTTCTATTTACTCTGATGCAGCAAGCTCAGTTTTTTGTTTTCTGCTTTAAATAATGTACAGTGAGAAAACAGAAACCAAACAAATCACTACTTTGGCAAACATCAGTGCAATAAAAATATGAAGAATGCATTGCAAGTCACCTCATCTCTTCAGTTTTAAAAGAAAGAGAATAATATAAATGGAATATGGACAAAATAATGCACCTCTAAAAATTATAATATGGAATAGATCCAAGTACTTGCAAAAAAAAATGATGATGCACGGCTCAGCTTTTCTGGGTCTTATCAAGTACCTTTGCTATCAAGGTTTTAATGATTTTGGATCCTGCAAAACCACATAGCTAAGGAAGAAACTAGCATCTCTTCTCTTTCTATAGCTAAATGGAAATAATGCTTACAGTTGGCGGTGAGCGTCTATTGTGATCAGCAGAATGGAGTCTGGAAAATGTATCTGACCCCGGCACAGCACAGGGGCAGAAAGCATCTTGCTTTTGTTACAGGATAAAACTGAGAGTGGAACCAGGTTTTTACAAGGCACCCTCTTATATATTAAAACCTAATCCAAAGACTGCAGAAATGAGAACATCTCAGCTGGCTTTGGATCAGGTGTTTAATGAAAACAGTTCTGCCTGGCCAACACATTATTCCACCAGAGGAGTAAGGTAGGGCCTGGTGTGCAGCAAAGTACCTCCATTAGCATCAAAAAGGGTCCTGTAAGATTTTAATTTTCCATCCAAACACCCTCCCTTTTTTCCAGATCACTTATGAGAAAACCGGCTGCACAGGGAATTCCAGGCCTACTTCTAAGTGTTGCCCTTTCCACCATTTAGCACCCAGCCCCACTTAAGGCTCTGCAGAGTGTTTGCACTGCTGCTGAAGCCCAACCACTTCACATGCTCTGCTTTAAGCCTTGATCTGGAATCACAGAAAGAGCACTTGTGAAATACCATTATCAAACATTCCTCTCAAAAGCTGTTGAGTAAGTTATCCCCAAAGCAGGCTTCAGCAGCTCCCTTGATGTTTCCCAGTGTTTACAGTTGCTACGATACAACCGCCCGGGCCTCCAGCCTGCTTTACCTTATCAAGTTGGGACACAACCTCCCATAAGAGGGAATGCAAAACTGAGAGCTCTCTGCCCAGGTCGATGTAGCCCTCAAATCCAGGCATGTTTGAGATGGTATCTGGATTAGAGATCTCCAGGAGGAAACGCTTCATTCCCCCCCACTCATGTTCCAAAAAGTCATTCATGAAGGCCATATACTCTTCCTTATTCCCAAACCTGCAAGAAAGGGGAGTTGGGGAAACCCAGTCAATAACCTCCAGACAAATACAAAGTATAAGTGCTTGCAGACAACTGTGAAATGCTTAACTTTAGATCTCCCTTTCTGAAGAGGGGGAAAAGAAAAAAGAACCATTTAAGAGATTCACTGCTTTTAGACTTGTTTAAATACTAGTAACTTGTTGATTGTATTATGAACAAGGGGTTCAACACATCTTGCCTCCTCAACCCCCCCAGTCATCCTTTCTCTCCTGTCTGCAAGAAGCATGCCCTTTGTATAATTCAGCTACGAATTTTGGAGGAGGGAAGTAAGAAAGTCAAGTTCCTTGGTGGGAACAGTCTTTTTTTTTTTTTTTTCTTTTTCTTTCTTTCTTTTGAAATAGCATAAACACTGACGTGCTAGTGCACACCACTCTTCTTGGTTTCATATGGTGTCCCTCTACTGAATTCAACATAACCCAAATCTGCATGTGAAAAGGAGAATCTCTCCCTCTCAACACTGAGGTGTCCCAGTGAGAACAAGGTTCACATCTAAATAAGAAGTTTTTTCCTTTCTAAAGCTGTCTTGTTTGCTGCAGACACAACTACAAGCAGCAGGGCTCTCCTTGCTCTGTAGTAACCTAGAGTGACTTGCAGCCCTAGTGGCACAGATTTCAGTTTTGTTGTCACCACCTACTTAGCAAAATTGGCGAGATTCTGAATGACTTTAGCAATAAGCGTGAGTGTGCGAGATGTCCGGTCATCAGGATACTCCTGCATGAGGCTGAAGAGGCTGGGGGACATGATGGCAGGGCACAGGAAGCGGAGGAAGAGGGAAGCACTGATCAGACGTTCACTGATGTCCTGCTTGCCCCTGCTCAGGCACTGCTGCTTCCAAGATGCAAATACCTCCTTCAGCTCACGAGGGAACACGCTGAAAAACAATAAACCAGGAAATAAAATTGCACGGGCAATGAGATGTAACAAGTTGAACTGATGATCAATCACCTGAAGTAATTATCTGTGAGAAATCATAATCGGCTTTTTTTTTTTTTTCCCCTCTAGGCTAGGAAATGTCATTAGGCATCTATTCTTGGATCCCCATTTAATCTGGTGATACTTAAGTACTCTTTAAAGCATCCCTTTTTATATATGTTAAGTGAAGCCTTTCTCAGACACACAGATTTACCAGCTAAGTACTACCTATCCATTGCTAGTCAGGAGCAAACAGGGTGTTAGGATATAAAAACCAAACTGAACTCATCTCTGTAACTACAGTTATTATCCTGCTTGTTAAGCTCTCTCAATGCTTCACATGTATTTCACCCTGAAGCAAAAAGACCCTTCTTTCAATGATACTCAGAAGCAGAGATTAATAGAAACCTTTCAGCCAATGATTCCTCCCTTTGTTTTCCTCTTCAGTTTTACAGATCTAAAGGGTCTGAAGGTCTTTTATAAATATCAAAACTTTCAGCTTTTTATTCCAAGCTCAAAGTAAGCTGTTATCTTCTCACTGATTCCCTCCTTTCTCGTCACACTTCACTATTTGTTTCCTTGGCAGACTACTTCAGCAGAAGCTCCTCTTGGGTCTGGTGCATTGGACTGCAAAACCCTGTTTTGGGCACAAGTTCCACCTGCAATATTGTCTCCCATGTAGTAAGGTAGCAAGGGAAAGAAATAAAGGCAGTCTCTGAAGATAGATGGGTCTATTCTACCTCCCTGTACAACTGCTGTTTTCTCTTCTGTAGAGGAGTGGACACCTTATGAGCAAATGACCTAATGGGGGAGAAGGGGAGGGGAGATGCCTCACCAGTAAGAATTGATAATCTTGCAGAAGGCCAGCTCACAACACATTTTCAGGTTGCTCTGATGATCTGTTAATTCACTGGATGAACATTTGCTGGGATCCACTTCACAGTTTTCATCTGACTCATACAAAGCCTTGATAAACTCCCCTGGACAAAGGGAAGAGGATGACAAACCAGGGTAATTACATGAAAAGCCTCCTTGACACACCTTTAAATCCTGTTTATGCCTTTCCTTGGCAACTGCCTCCTCTCCTCTCTGTGTCTGCGGTACAGTCTCCAGACACCAGATGTTGGGGACACGACTCTTCCCAGCTCCTTCAGAGCACAGCGTTTGCCGTACCAGATCAGACGACTGGTGCTCTAATGCTTCAGCCTCCCATGCCCTCGCTGCCCCCAGACAGAGGCACAATAACAGGACGGCTTTGCTTATAACCCCTGCAGACACTTCGTTTATAGCCTAAAGAACAGGATTTGACTTTGTACTCAAAACGCATTATCAAGCATAAAATTTTTCACAGCCTGAAAAATGAAGCTGCAATATTTGTCTTCATAATTTCTGCAGGAAATACACTCGACAATGGTATTTATTTTGCTTATTTTTAAATTTACCGTTTTTTGTTTGTTTGTTTGTTTTTTAACTTTATTCACCTTGCTCTTGAATAAGAGGAATACCTGAGTACTAGATAAATACTACTAGTATGCTCAACCTCTTTTATCAGCATCTTACAACATTTTTGTTGCTTCTATCATTCAGAATCCTTTGCATTTCTGTCATTCTCCTCTTACGGCATCACAACAGGCACTGGACACATACAAAACCAGATGAAGTTTCCTGTGTCTGATGAACTGGAATAAGCTACTTACTAGTTCTCCTATCTCTGCTAGCACACCACGAGCTTTATAAACCACTGTTGTTCATTAGGCAAAACCCCTTTATTCGTTCATGATTCAATGTCTTTTAAGTTCATCTCCTCAGAAGATATAGCTGGCTCTGAGCTAATGCCAAAAGGCTTGTTTGTGCAAAGTTTTTGTTTTTTTTTTAAATTATTATTATTATTTTTATAAAAACCTTTAGTGGTCCCCCCAGCCACTGCCATCTTCAGTCAGCACTGCTCTTGCAAGCAAAGCAAATGGCACTTTTTCTTAAGCTCTTTTGTTGGGATCCAAAAAATTTCTGCTGAGGGCATCTAGATAACTTATTTACTGAACTTTTGACATCGTTTTGGTGTGAGCCAATTCTGTTTTGTCTGTTGTTTGCTGGCTTAATTTTCTCTCTTAAACACATTTGAAACATTCTCTCTGTGGTCCACAAGGCCCTGCCTTAATCGGACACCAAAATGCTCTTACAGATGTATTAAACAGCTAACACTAAGTATAATGTTGTTGATCCTTTCAAAGGATATGGCATCTGAGCAAAATGACTAAAGACAATTTAAAACTTGACAAAGAATCAGACGAGTGTATTGTCATGAACAACCTTGCCCTGGGCTACAGACAGGCTAGGTGACCTTAGGGGGATTTTTGATTTCTTACAATCTTGTCACTCAGCACCAATATTCTAAATGATACATTATAAGTCATTAATTTTAAAATATTTTAACATAATTACTTCACTTTAAAGGGCTTGCAGTCAAATGTAATATAGTGGTCCCAAAGCTGATCATTCAGTCTTCTGAAAAGCATAACACAAAGCAATGTGCTGCTTACTTATCCCCAAAGCAATATGCTGCTTACTTATCCCCACCAGCGAGAGCCTAGGCCTGTGACTTGTGCTCAGTGGTTCCACCCATGAGAATAAGACTACCAGAACAGACTCATTATGCTTAAAGCATTCCCAAAATGCATATAATCACAGACCTGACTATACTGACCCTTGGAACACTGACTAATTTAGCCAACTAACGCCTTGATGACTTGCCAGCATCTGAGATTGCTGAGAACAAGTGAGACTGCTGGGAAAGCAAGCTGGTGGCTTTTTGTTTTGTTTTTTTTTGGTGAAAGGATGTGGTGTGGGACTTGGCTTTGGCCTGATCTTGTTTCCCTTGTATCAGTTTCCAAAGCTTGCTTCATCCAAGAAACAGGAGGATGGGTGGCTCACTGTGCAAACTTGGATAACAAAGGCTGTGTGGAGTTGGTAAAAGCTAACCATAGAGGGGCATGCATGTTTTAATGCTCTTTATTGCGATATTAGTTGCATGTACGGTAATTCCAGGACAGGGGCTTATTGCTAGAGCGGAATCTTTTGGTGGGGCGAGGACAGTAAGTAGTACTGTCACCAGAACCCATCACAGTAAGTGGACAGTAAGACCCCGCTGGGGGGGATGGAGTAGGACATCGCAGGATGGCCAGGCAGTTTTCAGGATGTGGTGACTGAAGAGCACTCTGGACAAAGTCAGAAGGCTCCCTATATAGTCTGTGTCTTGGTCTCCTGCTCTGTGCTACTCAGCAGCCCTGAGGCCTCATCCCCTCCTGCCATGTTTGTCTAAGGACTTTTGTTGGGACCACGTAGCAGTTTAGACAGTTGACACAAACATTTATCAATTAATTGCTCTGTGGCAAAGATAAGGGCTGAGCAAGTCTAACACTTGCTCTGGAATGTGTCAGCATTACCAACAGCTGCAGCTGAAGCATCTCAGAATGAGCTTTCCTGTTATGTACCCACTGAACCCAAACGCTACAGTGGGCGCTCAAACCTAATGAATGTTAACACCATAGCTAACATTTGCTGTTAGCTATAGCTAACCCCCTAGGCGGTTCACTTTGTCTTGAAGTGATTGCAGGAGCTTCTTTAACATAAAAGAAGATTAGTGAAATATGTTTCACATTCTTAACTGTTCTGAAATCTCTACCTAATTTCACTGCACGTGATTCCGTGTTCATTCCTGACGCCGCAATGCAAAGTACTGGACTCCATTTCCACTGTTAAATGAGGTGACAGAATTCCTTTTTTAAGCTTGTTCATAGAACAGATGGAACAATAACCGTTGCTCACTAAGCAGTGTTATATCCCCTCATCACAGCTAGAGACACAAAGGTTACCCAGAAAAACATAACGTGGTGATGCAAACTTTAAGAGGGACTCAGCTGTATCAAATCAAGTTAGCTTTTTCTTGGGTGCTACACCTTCCTCTGTAGAAAGGAAAGGCATCAAGAGCAGACAATGCATGTTTTGCTATCTGGATAGCAGACATCTGGGCTTAGTGCTGAGGCAGTTTCTTCCCATCCCACATTCTTTAACGTACCTAGCTGCATAAGGCTTTAGTCACGTAGCGGAACTAAAAATCCATGTTGTGACTCTGCCACTTCACCAACCCAAGTGGAGAGGGTTCACCACATGCCTCTGGAAAGCACCAGACTCGTGGGGTAATACAGTATGGGTACAAGGAATAACATCTAACAGGAATGCTGGACTGATTCTCTGCAGCAGGATCAGCCCTTTCCATGTGAGCAGCTGTGAGCAGCTCTTTCTTACCTAGTGCATCGTGAAGGTATTTCTGCCCTACCAGCTTCAGGTACTCTTCAATAGCTTTGGTAGCAAGTGTGTTCTCCCTGAAGATCAAGACATCGTGTTCCCCACAACGATCTACCTCAGACATCACCAAATCCGTCAAGAAGTCCTGAAGAAATAGGTCAAATGACAAGAGGTTAGTTTAACCAGGCCCAGTATGCCAGGCTAACTGCAGAAGCCAAGAAAGAAAGACAGAGGAGCCAAAGGATTACTGAAATAACTGCCCAGCCTGGGACAAAGGGCGCAGATGCAACATTAGTATGGGCTGAGGAAATAGGTAGAGCTCCTCAAAAAATAAAAGACAAATCACAGATGATAAAGGGAAAAGCAAAAGCCTCTAAAATAAAACCTTTATAGCTAAGCTTAGATCCTGAACAGAAACCCTCCTTAGTTCGGTTATCGGTGGTTCTGTCTGCTGAAACAAACTGATAATGTACGTTTATATTTTGATACCGAATATTACATATAAAATTGGATTTAAAAATTCAAGTTGGAAGTTCTACACAATTTCTCACCCCTTTGAGAAATTTAAGTATGAAGAATTGCTTACAACAGTTAAATTCACAAAAGAAAAGTGATTTAGGAAAAAAGTTAACATGCTTGCTGTGGATCTATATGGCTTAACTTGCATTGTTTTCAAAGGCTCAGGTAGGAAAGATCAGCAAGTCTTGATACAGTGAAAAATCTCTTGATATAGGGTCTAATTCTACATTAATACTTCTGTTATTCCTGAGGTGGTAACTCGAGTCAAGGACATTCAGCATTTCACAAGAAATGCTCAGAGCTTCACTACAGCCAATGTCAGCCACTGCCAAGTTCTCCAGGAGAGGAGCCATAATCTCACCTCACCCCCACTCTTTTCTAAATCTTAAAACAAAAACAGAAATAAAACACCATCCTGTATTAGGGCTGAGTGACAACTATGTGAGTGACAACTGTGACTTTCTGGTTCTGCTGGAAACAGCAGCAGCACAGTTTGAGGAGAGTTATAGCAAGGTTTCACAACCCCATTATGTACACAAACCATAATGCAGTGCTGGCATATTTATGTAAAATACCCAGAGCAAATTATACATTATAAAAATACATCAAAAATACATTCAGTACTGTTGTTTTTCAATCCCTTACTACTGCTTCTTTTCAAGACTGGAGAAAATTATTTTCACCTGGTGCAAACCATGGACACCCAGCTGCATCAGCACCACCACAATGTGAGGTGGAAACGTACCTTCTTTGCAGATTAAGGTTATAGCAGCCTAAGCCACTTAATGCTTCCAGTAAAAACAGACTCAAACACAAAGGCACACAGAGGGCAAAGATATAACGATAATTTATCTACCGAGCACTGCAGGAAAGCAGAGCATGCTTTCCGGGAGGTTTCAACACAGCTCTATAGGAGCTGTCCCAGCTATCAACTTCCTGAGATCAGCTAAACAAGCTGGTAAGGAACAAACTCCTGCCATGCATTGCCACTGAGCACCAGCCTTTTAGAAATGTATGTCAAGTAAGGGATGGAAAGCATTGTGGCTAATAATGGAATTGTTTTTAGAGCAGTTAATTGAAGCTGTCCCTTGGCTGTTGCTTATGGTCATTCTTCAATATCTCCAATTCTTTATCTTGTGCTTGGTGGTGCTTGTCTGGCTCTAGCTGGCATTACTGGAAGAAGCTGGCTACAGCTTGGTACTGCTCTCGTACACCCACTTGGCAGGCAGCATCTGGATCAGTCAATGCTGGTTAATGCTTCTCAGAATTTCTAGAGACCTGCGGGACATTCTCCCACAATCCATTCAAAGAACCCAGGGCTCACTACAATTGCTGCATCACAGAGAACCAGCAGCACGCACCCAAAAGTCCTAATAACATTCTTGGGGCAGACAGGATCACCATTAACTGAGTATGGATTCTCCAAATGGCTGTTCAAATGCTGACCAAATCAATGTTTGCACTGATTAGCTGACTTAGCACTGAATCAACAATGGCATGTTGCTGCTTGCTGTATTAGAGATATATTTATAGAAGCCATTCTCTGGATTATTTAACTCTTGCTTACTTATCTCTTATCCTGTATCATGACTTTAGAAATACAGAAAACGTTCCTGAGCACAGAAGTGCAGGCCCTCATTTTTTAGAGCAACATGAAATTATACAGTCCTGCCACTTACACTTTGTATGCGGTATCTTTAACCTTTTTATCAACTCGGGCACTTAATCTGTGTCAGTATGGTACCTATCTATGTGCCTCCTTGGTAGATGTAATTGACCAAATGTTTAAAAACACTCCCAAGGTCCTCTTCTCAGCCTTATCTCATCAGTTGCTGTGGTTGTGCCAGCCCAGACTGCCTATCTTGTACAGTAGCTGAGAAGGTAGCACCCATCATCAGCAAGAGGCATTTACACAGAGGCCGCCCATTCTTACCTTCGCTCTCCCAGTGCTCTGAAGAATGTGCACCAAGGCACAAGCCATCTCTTCCTTATTCCTTACGCTGATCACAGGCTCCAGCACAGAGCAGAGCATAGTATAGTTGCTGGTAACAAACTCTGCAAATTCTTTGTATTGCTCCATGGGCAAGATGGTGATGGTTTGGTAACGCGATTTGATCCGAATGGAAGGACCCCCTGATTTCCCCTTGTTGGGTGTAGGGGTGCTGACTGGGTACCATTTTTCCACAAATTGGCGACCAGTTACGCTGGCCATGGGAATGTTGACCAGGCCTACGTAGTTATTCTTGTCCTTTTTCTTCTTCTTCTCCACATCCTTGTAGATGTGAACTGTGATGCTGTGAAGAGGTGGGAGACCGTAGAACTCAAAGTGTTCTCCCCAGAAAATGTTATCTGCTTTTGTTTTGCTGGTGGTGCGGGCAAAGAGAGTGTCATCAAGGCACAGCTCACAGAAGTACTTCTTTTTGGGGGCCAGGTCCTTTGCCTCAATGATCCAGAGACGGAGCACATTTTCAGCTCGACGACAGTTGTCCTGTGCAAAAGAAGGAGCTCAGCTTTTATTCATAACCTCTAAAAAAACCTGAACATTTTGTCTTCTAGAGAAGTGGCAAATGGCTGCCTTTGCGTCAAAGGTAGGGGCAGAATCAGAATTCACATTCAGATTCTTTGATCCTTAGAGTCAGAATCTCTAGAAAAGCAAACATTTTCTGAAGCAGAGACAAAGGACTGTCTTTTGCATGTCAAAGGTAGGGAGCAGAACATTTTTTTTTCTCAAAAAGCTGTATTTGAAATGGTTTGGAAAACAAACACTGCACAGGAGCCACTCAAAAGCCGCTGGTCTGGTGGGGCATACTGTGCTGTTTACTCTTGTGAATAATTTTAAGAGCACTGTTAGCAAGTCCCTCCCAAGTGGCTGCTAACTATGGAGGTGACTTATCAGATGTTTGCCAGCTAATCAATAACTTGACTCCCATTCTCACTCTGGCTCAAATTCCTTTTTTCTTTTTCCCCAAACTGTGCCTCTGCATTAAACCTTGAAGCTTGGTGTCCCTTTCTTCTGCGGTACATGGAATCAGAAACCAAGTCTGAACCATCATAAGTGGGCACCTGGGGATGAGGAAGCAAGGTGGCATGGTATTTATTCATTAAAGGTTTAACCTACTGCACTCAACACAACAGTGCACAGCAACTTATCATACACTGATGAGTGGACTTCTCTCCAGGCTAAATTAATTGAGCATGTATCTGTGGGAAGCCCTGTTACACTGGACTAAAATCCAATCATATCACCTCCATTCCCCTGGTAATCTTATTTCCGCCGTTCCTGTTACCTTATTCGGCTGTACTGTTCTGCGTAGGTTTTCCATCCACTTATCCCTCTCTGCTGCAGAGGAACAGCTGAAGCATTTACTGCCACTGGAGTAGGTTACCTGGAAGATATAAATGACAGGCAGAGTTCAGGCAAGCCTAGAAGACACGTGAGGGGCTGCAAAAAGCAAGGAAGAAGATAAGCAATGTTTGAGCAACAAAGTCAATACAATAAAAGATGGAAAATAGTATGAGAGTCTAGATGTGGAAAGGTTAAAAGATCCACAAAATGCAGAGAAAAAAAAAGTCAGTTCAAATTAATACGAAGCAGGAAGCAGAAAGAAACATAAGGGGAGCACCAACAGCTCTTCTTAAAGACTTTTAAGCAAGGCTTAAATCAACCACTTATTTTTTTAAACACTTGCTAATTGATGTATAATTATTAAACACTCGCAGTTTTCCCTGGTAAATCTCAGAGACAGATGATTTGGTTACCAACAGTGCAAAGACAGAGCAATGTATTAATGTAAGGCAAAGCACAATGGAAATGGTGTCTTCAGGAAATACAAAATATTTCTGAGGGTCCAGATATACAGCAGCAGGCTAAAAGAAACCAAAGGAGTTGTGCTCTGATCCAGCTCCACCCCTTGATGCCATGCACAACTCTGCTTTCACGCAGGAGTGATCCACCTTGGTTCTTTCACTTTTGCTTGGCCTGACAAGCTTCGTTTACTCTTCCCATTCATTTGTGCACACAATTAAAAAGCAATTTGAGGTAACAGCCTCAGAGCTATGATGTTGCCAGTATTTTCACTGCACTCCCCAAACCTAAGCAAGCTGGAAGGTGCTTCCAAGCAAAAGAATACAAGATTGAAGCAAACACGAACAGTTCCTGGACCCGTCTCAAGGGAGAAGAGCCTGATTTGCTGGTTTTCTGCCAGAGCAGTTTTCCGGGTTGTAAGCAGATCTTTGTCCCAGAAGTTAGACACACCTGACTAACCTTGCTGAAGAGAGAGCAGACTGACTGTCCACCGCCCCTGCCACAATGCATTATGATGGCCTTAGACACATCCAAACAGCACACGTGAACGTGCTGGAAGGTAAGGATTGTGCTTGCACCAACAGCCTGTTTCTCAAGCAAAGCTGGGCTGCAGCTTGTGCTGAAACAGCAGGAGGATCCAGCTCTACGGTGCAGTGGACATGTCCCCAGCTACTGAAGCCTCTCCTTTAGCAATCAGGAAATGGGCTGAGCTAATGGGAGGGAGTTCAGACTTGAAATCACATTTCTCAGTTACGTCGTATTTTCTCAATTTAATTTTAGGTGAATTTGGGAAGAATGAACACCCAGCTCAGGAATAATAGCACGTTTCAACCTTACATTTGCATGCAGACTCCAAATGCTTAGATACTTATCAAATTAACAAGATTTTTCCAATTAGAATACGCAATAACTGAAGAAGATTTCCCTTCATTGAGTGATTGATGCCATTAGCCTCAAGGACTTTGAGACTGCACGCTGGTTAGCCAGCCCCCACCCAAACCTCAGTACAGCTCTGGCAGCCGATCTCTTCTCCAATTACAAAGACACAGAACAGCGCTCTGCACGGGCTCAGACCGACCCAACAGCATATAATCGGCTCCGTGTTTGGAGAACGTTCCCTTACCTCAAAGCAGAAGTCTTGTCCAAGGATACTGCTGTGAAGTGGTTTGACAAAGACTTTTTCTTCTGACCCAAGATCCAGGGCCTCCACCGCGCTGCCGGGGCTCAGCAGGGACTCATGGGAACGGGACTCTTTCAGCTTCGGCAATCCACGTGACCTGTACAACAAGGGAGAAAGGAAATATTATTTTTCTCACCATTACTAACAGGCTTGGCAAGGTCCCAGAGTAAACTGCGAAGCGTTGTTTATTCCTAACTGCTTCTACAATTAAGTTTGTGAGCCTCGTGAAAAGTAACATTAGTCAGTAATCCCGGCTCCTAAGGAAGCACCCAGCCAAACAAGGCCATGAAGTCCATTCCCACTGACCTACAAATTGTACCTGTTGAGCCACCAGTGAAAGAACAACAAAATGAGAAGTTCAGAACTTAACTGCTGACATTTAAAGAAAACCTAGAGATCTCCAGCTCAGGGTATATTACTGGGAATATCGACTGCCCGATTACTAGGTAAATGTTGTGTGTAACAGCAAGAAGTGCACAGATCTCTAAACCAATGCAGAGTACCAGTTTTTCTCATCAGATTTCCCCTGCAATATACCTTATTTTTCTTAAGATCCAGAGCCTTTTAACTAAAGTCAAATATGCAAACTATTTACCACTTTACAATGCTCAGTACCTACATTTAAATTTTCATTGTCTTCTTCAGCTGCTTCTTCCACTTTTAACAGTTTCCATTTTTTCCCTCCCCAAGATGCTCCCATTCTCTTTTCATTTCCCCTCCCACACACACTGCTGTTCTTTTTCAGTCAGCTGGCCTGTAAAGCCCTCAGCTTTGCAATACCAACAGCAACATCACAAGGCACGCTCTAAAATTTGTGCATCCTCCCAATTTCATTTAATGCAATGCTCATTTGCAGCAGGGAGCTCTGCAACACTCCAAAATGTGCTCATTTATCGGTGACTATAGCTTCACCTGTGCTTCTCCCCCCGCACTGCCACCTGGAGCATCTCTTCCTGCAATAAAGTCACAGAATATTTTAGGCACAACTAGGATTTCTGCTTTTAAAGACAATCATGATGTGCACACACAGCTTTCCTCTAGCTGGGACTCAGACAAAGCAGACGATCAACAAAAAGGAGGAGCAGAGAGTCCCAGATTAGCAGAAGAGGAGCTGTTTACCTGGCAGGTCTCGGTTTTGTAAGATGTTCAAGCTTGTGCTGGTCCCTACGCTTGTTCAGTCATCTATGGAAGCATGTCCATAAATACGGCTGCTCAGCTACCAAGTGTGGCTGAGCACAAAGAACAGATGTGAATGTAGAATGGCATCAATTGTCTATACATCATGCGGAGAAAAGCAATGCTCTGAAATGATGCTTTCTCAACTGTCTTTGTCCTCACAGTGTGTTTTTTTTTTTTTCTCTTTCATTTGACTCTCAGTATCAAGGCACAGTAGGAAAAGGAAAATGTTCAAAAAAATGTATTCACTGAGTTATGGAAAGCACAGCTACCTCTAACAGCATCCTTGTTTTTTGAAAAATAAGCAAGTATGTTTTGCGTACTTTCTGAGTGCATCTTACAAGATAAATCCTCTGTTTTTGTAACCTTAGCAGAATCAGATTCCTTATACCCTTAAGCAACCTTACAGAAAAACAGGAAGGAAAAAAAAACATTCGGAGCAGGTGTGTTCAGTACTTCTAAGACCATTTAACAAAAACTTGCGTATCACGAAGGATTCGTGTAAAGCAACAAGCAGAGTTCACCCGAATGCTCTTTTGTGCAAAATGAAACACTCAAAGTATTCGAGTAGATTCACGTACGATAAGATTTATTAAACACTGAGGGAGAACTTTGTTCCCATTAAATATATTAAATGACCTAAATGCAGGCAGCAAAAACCTTTTATCAGAGAGATATTACAAAGAGACTGATTTCAAATGCAAAACAGCAGCGCTGGTACGAACGCTTTGGCTGCTCTGTGCATGCTTTGTTATAACAGGTTACAGCAGCAGCTGTACCAACGCAAACCTAAAACCTCAGCCATGTATAATTGAGCACTTGCTGCAGTTAAGGTAGGGCAAGACTAAAATAAACACACCACAATACACCACTTTAATATCATCTCTGCAAAATCCTCTCTAATTTCTCCTCTCAAGAAAGCACTGCTGAGGTCACTTGGCTTCTGTCCCTATCCCAAACTCTCAGCAATCCCAGCCCTAACAGGGTGCTTTGGTGCATGATGCAGGGGAGCTGGCTGAGAGCCTGTAGCTAACTCCAGCCGGAGCTCCTTGTAACAGAAGAGAAGTGTGGAGCGGTCACAAAGAGGAGGAAAAAAAAAATAAACGACCAAATAAAGGAGAAAGAAGAGATTTTACAAATCCCAGTTCAGCAGAGGCTGCGCTTGGGAGTAAGACAAATCAAGCACACCTACATGAAACAACTGTACAGCCACTTAGCAGTGCATCCCCAAATCATAGCGGTGCCACATGTCAGAGCCCTTCTTTTCAAACTTCGTGCTCTGGGCTACATCTCAGGCACTAAATCCTGCCGGGAGGGCACCAAATCCAGCAGAGTTCTTCCTCAAGCCTTGGGTTACAAATTCTGGATGAGCATCGCACCGAGCAGATACGCTGGGGCCAGAAGAGAAGTCGAAGTTGGAGCTGCACGGGTGCAGCAATCTCTGTGCTGGTCTGCTGTGCTCCTGCCAGGCCCTGGGGGGACTCAAGGAGGCTCCCGGGGGCACTCGAGGAGGCTCCTGGTGTGTGTTGCCATGGCACGGCCTCCTGGAAGGGGATTAGGGGGAGGCAGCAAGCACAGGGAGCCTGCTCTGCTGATGCAGAGGTCACCTTTGCAGAAAGAAACAAGTCCCTCCTCTTCCCTTCCTATAAAGAGTTTACTGAGGCCGAGAAGGTGGAGGACGGTGGGAGAGAGAGAGGCATCTTCCAAGAATGCCTCCAAACAGCCTTCAGGGATGGGGTGGGGGCAAAGACATGACAGGTACTGAGTACATGACAAATTGCACTCGGTGCCTCTGAATCTCACCTTGCAAGACAAACCTTCTAGCAGCATCTACTCTGCTTCACTGCTGTGTTAGCCTGTGAGCTGTGAATATTTCATTTTGTTGCAGATGAGCTGGAGAAGGTTAGTTTTGTTGTCTCAGGATCCATGGTAGAGGAATGTCTATCTGTGCGAGCAATTCCTTGAAGTTACCATATTTAAAATAGCTCATTAAACTGATTAAGTGGCTTAGAATTGCCACTTTATCTTCCACAAACATCACAGCAATGCTGGAAAGTCACTGGTTAGGTGCAACCACATGCATTTACAAACAGAAGGAGATGCACTTGTAAACACCATCGTGTATATTTCATCTATTGATAGATCTGCAACGCAAGTCATTGACTTGTGCCTAAATCAACAGCATCCCGATCAATAAAGGCAATAATTACATGGAAATAATAGTTCTCTGCTTCTTTAAAGCCGCATCTCATTTTCCGAGGCTGTAAGTAACAATGAAGAGAAATTGCTTGCTGCCTTCCCTTTTGCACAGAGGCAGAGTTAATAAGCCGAAGTCGCTAACTTATTTCCCAGTGTCTAGCAAAGGGACAAGATTAACAGGGGCTTTTCTGTACTGGGTCGGAAGCTACTGGCAAGGCGAGTGCTGCTTAGAGCCCCTGTTAAGAGAGAGGTAATCCCAGAGAAGCAGATTACTGTAAACAGGAAGATCGCCATGCACAAGGTGGGGGAAGGGCTGTTTGCACAAATCTGTTTCTGTTAAACAGCCCCATTAACAAACCAAATCCCCATTTAAATTACAATTAACCTCAGATAACAAACTCTTTTCCTGCTGCTGGTTCTATCCACTGCTGTGTGCAACAAAGAGTTAGGGAGCTGATGTAGGAGTTCAGAGCAGTCACAAGCAGCACCGAACATTTCCCACATAGCTGCTTCCCAGAATTTCTTTCCAATAGGAAAAGCAGGTGGAGGAGGTGCCTGTCAGGGAACGTTTTAAACTTCTCACCTCTTCTCACATATTTTGGAGTAGTGATCTTCAGGGCTGCCTAATTTCCTCCTAAACCAAGCCAATGCCCCGAGGTCTGACCCGTGGCAGCATCCAGCCGATACGTAAAAGATCTCTTCACCACCACCACCACCACCCTACAAGCCCAGCCCCGAGCCACCCCCTCTCCTTGCACACCGTAATTCTGTAATTTGCTGCTGCAGGAAGGGCTTGGTTGCAAGGAGGGAACGCCGGACCTGGAAACCTCTGGCTTCCAGCAGCAGCCCAAGGCGCACGGCAGGCTGTTAGCTGACTTGTGGTACGTTTTACTGTCTATAAGGCATGTAGGATAAAGGGTTAAAGTCCTAACTGCTCTCTGGTTATGAAGCTCTCATGCTGATTCTGACCTATTTAAAAGCCAACCAAAAAAGCACATAGGACTTGCAATTACTGAGCTTACCAGGGAGAGTTGTGTATTGCTTCAAAAACAAGCCTGTGGACATCAACAACCCAAAAGGTAACAATTAAAATACATATATATATTTATATAAATGAGCTACCAAGTAACAGAATCCCCTAAACTATGTTTCCTTTACCAACAAATTGGTGTGAAGGCAAAGAATTCTTGAAAAGAGTTATTTGTTCAGCTCAAGCACCCAGCTAAAGCCTCGTCTCCACCGCTCTTACGCAAAACTGGACGTCTGCATGATTCAAACCGCTCCGGCACAATACCCGTGTGTTTAGAGACACTCCCCGAGATCAGAAAGCTGAATTCAATACTTAGCCACTCGCAAAGTCCCAGCAGAGAGCTTGGCCTCTAACGCAGTGAACTTTCTGCCCAGCGTTGCTATTCGGATCCCCAGCCCCGCTGGGCCGGACCCCAAGGTCGGCAGCATCGCCTGCAGCAGCAGTGCCGCAGCACCAGCCCTCCTGCCCCATGCATGCGTTCATTTTGTAGACACACCACACCCTGCTTCGTGTCCCAACTGCCTATTAGTGAAACAGCCTATTACTTGGTCAACAATTTGACAAGTCTAACCAGTTTTATTATTATTGGCTTTTTTTTTGTTGTTTGTTTGTTTTTAAATTGGAAATTTAGGGTTGTTTGTTTAGATGCAAGTTCCACCCGGCTGCAGTCGAACTCAGAGCTTTTTCCGAGCACATCTCTTTTGCCTTCTTTTGAGTTTCTGATCTGCTTTCACAAGGCCCTACACAAAGCCTCGCTGCCTGAAGCTCCCCTGCCTCCCTCCACAGCACCGCGTGTCCAGCGGGCACCTCCGGCAACACAGCTGCACCGGCTGTGAATTTCACAGGGGTAATATGCTCCCAGCCCTCCTGTAACCAGAAATCTTTGCTGTTAATGTGTGAAATTCTTTTGTTTTGCTGGAGCCGAGATGCTTAACCTGCTAAGTTTCATGTCACTGCTAAGTGATATACAGGTGGGTGCTATGTGGAGGAGCCCGCAGCATGCAGAAAAGCACTGGCCAGTAAGGAGCATGTTTTTAAGAGGGGGTCACTGCAGCCTACAGTGAGGCCAAGGCAGAGGCTTGCAACGATAGGCTTTATGTTGAGATCTTGTTCATTTTTCACTGGAAAACAAACAGCTGCACAAGGACCGAGAAAAGTGGCTGAAAGAAATACGTTGACCTCCACCAAAACAGGAGTGAGACATCTCTCTGGAAACAAACCACTCCTCCCTTCTCTCCGTACTCCAGTGTTCAGATAGACACAGATATGCTGAATGAATGCAAGCTCTGACTGAGTCAAGCCTTGACAATGCATTGCATAATACAGATTTTTATCCTCAAGTCTCAAGCAGGATAAAAATTACCCACCTTTTTTGAAAACTGGGATTAAATTACGATGAATAAATAGGAAAACACAGCAAGATCTAGTTCTACCATTTCTACGACGGGTGCTATTTTCACACTGCAAAGAAGCAAGAAGGGAGGCGCGGGCACTTACCGAAAGTAGAAAAAGCTGTCGTTGGAGCAGCGATAGCGCTTCACCATGAAGCCCAGAGCCATGGCTACCTGCTTCCCCACGACCTGCCCGAGCCCATCCTGAGCAAGCACAGAAGGGATCCTGCGCTCGACCACGACTGTCTGATAATGCCATAAAATGACTTTTAGTAAATCAGGAGGGCTCCCACGTGGCAGTAAATCCCAACAGGGCAAAACCCTCCCAGCTGTCTGCAGAGCTTTGCTGCAGTTGCTGAGACTGTATGCAGCCAGTCTCAACAATCTTTGCTCCCTCTCCATACACAGAACTGAGGTGAGATTTGTTGGACCACTTAGAAATACTCTTAAATTCCTGGCCCCCAAATGAAAAGATTCATTTGGTCTCTCCTTATATATTTTTTTAAAATATTTATTTTTATTGTTTTACATTCTATATGTGACTGAGAAAATGTTAAGAAAGAAATGTGTGGGTTGGAGAGCTCAAAGAATGCAGTGGGAATCCGGCTAGGAAAGTTGTGGAAGGTGATTTGGTAACACAGAGCCAGAGAGCCTCACAGTCAGCACCGCTGATAACCCAATGACATACCGTACTGGCCACAGATCTGAAGAGCTTCGTTCAAATCTGGCTTGGGTCACAACCAAGCACAGTTTAAGCATTCCCATGTTGGTGTCTTGTGAAGACAAACCACAAGTTTTCAAGTACAAGTTTCCAAGAACCTGGAGTGATAAAGGTGGTGTGAACTGCAGAGGCTGTGGATTCGTGCAGGACACCCAGATACTAACCACAGTGGGCTCATTTCCACAGGGGGACCACAGTTTTCTCTCCTCCCCATCCACTCAGTCACACTGAAGCAAAGTTTAAAACCCAGAAAAACAAAGTAGGCTGCCTGTGGTTCTTCCTGATAAACAGAAAATCTGATAACAAAAAAATCTGCAACAATCTCCAGCACTCCCTTCTGACAACATTCCTGAATCCTTTCTATTTTAAATCAACTCCGAACAGACAGCATCCCTCCTCTGTCACCATCCGGAATGGCACGCAGTGTGACAGTATCCCAAACCAGGATAACCCGTCTTCCATATTCCAGAATTTTATAGGTTTTTATCCATGGAAATCTCCTGTTTCTTAATAGGACCCGAACACCACAAAAGCACGAGAGAAACAAACATGACAGCAGCCTCCATTTCTTTCCTTCTAACCTTTAAGGGTTTTAATTTATAAAGCTACATAATGTTTTCTTTGAAGCTAAGGCTCTGTATTTGTCAGAGCACGAAAAGGTAGATGCTATCGGTCAATCCGGCCCTGAAAACCAGTACAGCACCATGACATCACCCAGCACCACCTGCTTAAAATGGGAAAGGGCTGACTCACTGAAGCAGAGGCCAGGAAAGTTTTTCCTGCAACAGACCAAACTCATACAGAAAGCTGAGAGAGCAGAAGGTGAGAAAATGTCAATTCCCACTCAGCTGCTGTACGTTACCTTCTCTCACGCACAAACAGTTGTAACTGACTTGCTCCATTGGAAAAATCCCAAATAACAGTGTAATTCTGAGCAAGAATAATTTTTTTTAGCCTCTCTCTTCCCTCCAGCCCATCTCCTCCCAATACACTCATCTGTTCCTCATCTCAAGTGCTTCATTCCCACGTAGGTCTTGAGCTGTGTTTCCTATTAGTCTAGGCACCAAGTGCATTTTTCAGGCACCCTTAGGTAACACAGTGAAACATATGGGAAGGAAGGGAGAAATTACTGGCAAGTTTAACTTTACAGTGGAAATGAGTTTCCTTTAAGGCTTTATTCATAAAATTAGAAATACCCTTAGGAAAGTAATAGCTATAACCGTATCTTCCAAGTCGCTATGTTCAATTGGTGCGCTGATTAGATCACAAATGCAAACGGAACTCTGTAAAGCCTTCAATCTTTTCAACAAAAGGTAACTACAAGGTTGAGTAGTGCTGTTATGCTTTCTTTCCTAGAATAACTTATCAGCAACTCATGACCCACAGAGCTAGAGGCGAGGCTCATGCTTCAGAACAGCTACATCCATGTGTGCAAAGATGAGCTCCAAATAAACTTGATCTTGGCTTGCTTTCTACATAGCTTGGCTGCTCTCAAATGATCTCCCTTGCCTTCACGCTGTGCCCTCTGTTCACTTCAGCACATGTAGCTCTGAAAGGCGGAGGCTTGCCTGGACTTGTTAGCAAAAAAGATCAGGTCCATTAGCAGCAAGTGCTGCTATCAAGTCACAAAACACCCAAACCACTGTCCCATCTCCAGGACTACAGCTGCAAGAGACACTGCTATAAGGCTAGCAGTGTAGGAGGCCAGAGGAGAACTGTGGCAAGACGGAAAGCGCAGCCATCGCCTCGTCCCTGTCCAACACCCCGCAGGTCACTGGTTATCCTTGGCTCTGTCCCGCAAATCTCTGCATGGACTCTGCCACTGGAACTTCTCAGTTCTCATGGATCCTCCTTAAGTTCATGCCTAGGAGTCCAGAGAAGGGTTACAGAACCAGCGATGCCTAATGTCACCTCCACATGTAGTGCATTTTATGCTCTCTGAACAGTCAGAGAAAACCCACTTGCCATTCGGGTCTAGCTGACAATTCATGCCCATACAGGTATGGGCAGAGAGACGGTGGCTTTGCTGCATATAACATCTTAAACCAAAGTTGTAAGGATTAATTATAGCTAAATGTATTGGCTATCCCAAAATAATAGCATTTCCCTGACACTCCAATGGAAGTGTCATCCGTCCGGGTTTAGCATGAGTACCAAGCCAGGAAAAGACAAACACATTACTTATTGCAAAGATACTTCTGCATTACAAAACTTCAAGCAAAGCTGGTTACAAACAATGGTACAAATAACAGGTGCATTATTATATGGTGGCTTTATTTCACATGCTCACTGAGCTGCTTTTTAAAGCAAAGTTCCATCTCCCTGAAAATAGGCATTTAATTAAAACAAACAAAAACAATACCAAAAAAAATCACACCACCACCACAGACTTGACTCTAAACAGACCGGGTAGACACTACCATGACTAAAGAGCAACAACATCCACACCATTAGTCACATTCGGTAAGCAGCAGTCTTTTCTGTAACTCCAAAAGTTAACAAGACCTCTTACATCCGAAGCCTTGCTATCTCCATGATTTTATGGTGCTGACTTTCAGATGGAGAAGATAGCACCACTGATTGAAGCAGCACAGCATGACAGATGCAGCTAATGAATTCAACTCAGCTAAAGAAAAGGGAAAATGCACTAAACAATGTAAAATCAGAGAAGCCTGTCATGGCCTTAAGTACAGGGCAACTTATTTTCCACTCAATCTAGTTCTCCTGCTGGGCTGCTGTGGAATGTAACACACAGCAATGTTTAATGAAGACAATCAAGACACTTTCCAAATAGAAAAAAAAAAAAAGCATATAAGCTCTTGTTTGCCTCACATACAATCCACTCAAGCCTGAATCACTAGGTGAAAGCAAAACAAGTAAGACTATACCAAATGGAGCACTAAGATGGACAGAAGTCACCAAATTTTCCAGTTTTCTGAAAATCAGACCATCTGTTCCTTGTAGGACTCTGCACTGCAGCACTATATGATCTACGGACAAGGACTTTTAACTGCACCACAAACCTTTGGGCTTTGCCAGTGCTAGCTGAACTGATCTGCTTCCACCAGCACAATCTCATATCAGCCACTGCACTGATCTGCAGATAAGTATTGCATTCATTAAGGCAAGTTCTTGTAAAAGCTGATCAAGCCAGTGGCTTTGTATCATGAAATTTAATGTCTGTACTTTATTTGAAACAGATGCAAAAGAAGGCATTTGAGTCCAGATGCCTAACCAGAACTTTTTATCAGCTGTTAAGAACAGTAGAAATTTTCAGTGGCGTGCCAGCGATGCATCGTATAGAAAGAAAAACAACTTATAAGATACAGTCAGCCAAAACCCATCCATCTGCCAGTTTAACAACAAAACTCCTTCCTTACTCTAATTCTGCGAGCACATATGCATGCAGATTTTGTGAAGTGCCTCTAGATAAGTAGAGATTGCTCTGGGAGACACACCAAACCTTACCTGTCATCAGCATTGCGGAGAGATGGGAGACGGAAACTTGTGTTCCTGTCCAGCTTGGACTGACTCTTTGTCCTCTTGATGGACCCTTTCAGACGTTTACTGAAGAAGCCCTAAAATGAGAAATCACAGAAGTGAAATGGGGAAACTGATGCCAGTAATAAATCAATCAATGCACTGCCACTGAGTCCAAACTCAGCAATAATTCCTGCTGACTGCAATTATGAGGAATGTGCTGTATTGGGATTCCTCTAGGCACGAAGGCAATACTAAATAGTTCCAGTTCATGACAGCTTCATATTGCAGTAATTAGCACTTCTCATGTTACAGGTGCACTTCACTGAATAGCAACTACTATACAAATGGTAAAAAAAAACGTCATTTAATAAGGATGGTCTTAGATATCGGTATTAGGTCCCACCTCCCCTTTACATGCCATGTTTCCAGTTCTTGTACAGATTCAGACTTGAAGGATGTCTTTCTTTATGCACCCACAGTTGCACCTAGGTTCTCCTTTTGCACTTAAATACAGCAGGTCAGTCTTACAAAAATGAGTAATTTCAATAGCCTTTCTAGCCAAAACTGAAACTCTCAAAAGATTTCACACACCAGTGACTTCAGATACTAGTCCTGAAACTGATTTAAAGCAAAGATCAACTCAAAAATTTACCTATGCTCTAAAAATACCAATCTTCAACTAATCTCTCTTCTGAACTATGGTAGTTCACCGGACAATTGCAGACCAAAGACACGAGAGCTGCTGGGAACCTCTGGGGGTCACACAGTCCTCCTGCTCAATGGGGGTGCAATGCCAACACCAAGTGTGGTGTAAATGCCTGAAGTAACTAGGAAAATAAAACTAACATTCACACTTTTAAGGAAAAGGTACAGCATTGAAGAGGCTTTCAGGGTAGGGCATAACTGCATTATCTGAGCGTTCCCTAGGCTCCCAACCTTAGATGCTATCGCGCTGGGGAAACTTGGTGTGCTAGCTCTAAGGAACACCACGGAGTGTAGAGTGGAGTGGAGACACCACGGCTAGGCTCTGTAATCAGGTGGGGCCTCGATTGTTCTTGTGCACAAAGCTGCACTTTTTGCCACCCTAAGCCAAAGACCTGTCATGTTTTGACAAATGCTGTACCCTAGTGTACTTTTTGCTCATTATAATATCATTATAATACCAAAACACACCTCCATCCCAAAAGCTACCCGCCTCCAAGGTGCGACCACCCCTCACTGAGCATGCGCCCTGAATTTCTCGGAGCCTATTACTTTAAACGGAGACGGGAAAACTTTACACCAATCATAACTAAGATATGCTTGACTAGAGCCACTCAAGCTCCACCTAAAAGATAGAAAATAATATAAATTGGCCCAAGAGAGAGGGGATGTTAGGGAAGATACCATCGTCAGGGGAGATACCATCCCGAGGACATACAACATCCTTAGGACCTCCTGACTCCTGGGATCAGTCGACGGGCTGAGCCTCTCTTCCCCCCCCATTGGGACGCCTTTGGGTGAGATCTGAATATTTGCTTATAAATCTCTATAGAGTCTTTGATCCTTTTAACGTGTTTATTTCTAGGCTGCGCACCTGGAACACCTGTAACACCTGTAACACCTACCTAGAACCCGCACCTAGAACCCGCACCTAGAACCCGCACCTAGAACCCGCACCTAGAACCCGCACCTAGAACCCGCACCTAGAACACCTGTAACACCTGTAACACCTGTGTATTTCATGCATACTAGCTTGCTTTTGCAGATAGTCACTATCACCGGCAATCCAAAAGAACCTGATTATCTGTTGCTGTAATAAACCATACTTGATTGCATTGTGATAGCTCTCATTAATGCAACTAGGGTGAGGGTGGTTATCCGTGATAGTTCAGTGTTCTGAATCTAACCAGACCCCCAGACGGTTAATGCATTGTTGGTGAATGTCTGAACGGACCCCCAGGTGGTTATTACGTTTTTGGTGAATGTCCGAACGGACCCCCAGTTTTGGTGAATGTCCGACTGGTTCAGTACTCTGAATCCAACCGGGCCCGTAACGGTTAATCAGCTACACCCCTTTAACACGACACCAAGTCAGCTTTGCTTTGACTTTGTCCAGCTAAACCTTGAAAACCTCTGGAGACAGAGATTTCACCACTCCTCTAGGCAACTCAATCCAGTGCTGCATGACCTTCCAGTGAAAGTGTTGTGGGTGTTCAACCAAACCTCCTGAGCAGCAATTTGCAGCTGCTGCCTCTGCAGAGCATCTCGATGGAGAAAAGTTTGGCTCCATCACCTTTTAACTCTCCTTTACATGGCTGTAGGCTGCCTTCTGTCACCCTTCAGCCTCTTCTTTCCCAGATAAACCAGACCTCAGCCTCTCCTTGCAGTCATCTTCCTGCAGACATCAGCAGGAACGACAGCTGTTTGACCACCAGTGCGATACGAGCGCAGCTCACTACTGATACACAAGGGCGCGTGCATCTGTACGGGTGGGGAGCTCAGGGAAGTGTTTCAACACCTGCACGGCTGATTTTCTCCTCCAGCCCTTTAAATTACTTTATGCAATATGCAAAACCAAACGGTGTCAAAATATTTCCGGAGCTTGCAGGCATGCATGCACATACATTCTTTGGTATGATCAAAGCAAATATAAAGGTTCTTAATCCATAGGATTAAACAACGTTTTACTGGCTGAATCTCTTCTGCTCCTTCACGGAACAGCTGCATAGATAGAGCACTGCTGTCAGGACATCTCCCAAATGCCTGCGAGCAAAACCACGTTTGTTAAAGAGTATTACAGGCTGGTTGGTACAAGTTGCTCAAAATTAATTTTCTTTGGTGTGGACTGAACATGCAGATCTAGAGCCCTGCTTTGGGACAGGTGTAGTGACAGCGACAGCCAGCTGGGGCTAGCCCTCTGTCCCACCATCCGTGCTCTGCTAGGACAGAAGTCAAGCACAGCGACTTTCAAGATGTTTGCAAAGCAAGCCCCTCAAGCTGCCTTTGGGACAGGTGACAGATGTTGCCCACAGCTGCCTCCTGTAACACAGAAGTCAGCAAATTGGAGACAACAAGGTCTTCTGTTCTCTCCTACACAGAACACTGACAAAGCAAGAGGTTTTTTTATTGGCTCCAGGTGACTCAACCAGATGGAAGCATCCAACCTGTTTGTTTTACAGGCTCCTAAGAATTAGGCCATCCCAGCAAAACAAGACATTATCTGTAATCTTTTAGCCTGAAAAATCTCACGTCTTTCACCTCTTGAGGAAGAAAATTAGATTTGTCTACTGTATTCAAAGGAAAGGGCTATTACCTTCTTCTCATTAAGGGATGCCAGGTTAATTGTTGGAGGACAAAATCACTTCCAAACATCAAAACCAGCATTTGGTCCGGTTCATCTATAAGCTTCTCCAAACCAATTTCCCCATTCTGCTTTTTTTCGGGATCTTTCCAGCACATGCAGATCACCCTCTCCCAAATACTTGTGTAGGAAACAACCTGCTGGCTCGCACCAGAGCCCACAAAGTGCCTGTCTGTGGGCAGCACAGAGAGATCAGGGTGCCCTGCAGCCTCTGGGATGGTGCCGTGTGGGACAAAGGAAGAAGGAATCTGATTTTTGCATCTGAAGGTAGTGCTACATTTAAGGCTGCCCTTCAGTTTCTGAGGCTTCCCAGCAGGCTCCTCCGAGATGAAAGCCGCTATTTTCTACTGAAACAAAATAAAGTGCAAAAAAAATGACCTTATACCAAGACAGTACCTCCCAAAACCAATCTACATAGTGTGCTGGGGGAAAAGGTACTGTCGAAAAGGAAGACGTGTTTTTAGCTGTGTATGCCACTCAAACTCTGCCCATGTTCCCACACTTTTCTTGGTCCTGGTATTGAAAAAATGCCTTTGAAAAAAACCCTGTAATCAATAGATGCTCTTGGGCTTCTCTTGGGGCCACTGCTGGAATTCAAGTAGAGGATGTAAAGCGCTTTCAAAGGCACTTTCGTGTATTCTGACCTCTCAGCACAAAAGGTAACAAACCCAACTACAGGGATTCAGATCTGGTGGACCCTGGCTTCATTCCAGTACCTCTCAGGCTACTCAGATTGCAAACGCAAAATAAAATGTTTTTCTCCCCTTAAGGACAAATAAGACAAAGCTGACCCAATTCAGCAAGGGTGAAAAAGTATTTCTATTGCATCAATCCGAAACCCACTCAGAGAGGGACCGTGAAGTCATTTCTGTGCACATACACAATTTTAAATTGGCATTGCTTAAACATCAGTGAAACATACTCTTGGGTTAATTGCACTTCATCTATTCCTTCACAGATCGTTCCTTATCTTTGATTGAATGAGGCTACCCAGGACTGACTATAACAAAAAAGAACAGAGAACACACTTAATAATAAAAAATATTCAAACAAAGACTTTGCTTGCTGGTGATCCTCAAAACACCTGAAAACATTTGTAATATTTGCACTCTGCACCTTGCTGGCAGCTCATGCAGGGCCAGCGCTTCCAGATGGACTACCTGGGAGCAGAACAAGAAATTCACATGTGCCAGAACTGAGCCGAGCTTTTGGACTTCCGTTTGCCAACAGAAATCCTTTTAAATGGAGATTGCAGATATAAAACGTATGCAGAGTTGAAAAATAAACTTCAGTCTGCAACAAACCGTCTAACTGAAAAACAATTCCTTTTCCTACTAAATAGAAGAAAACTCTGCCAATGCTACTAACTGTAGCTTGTACTGTTAAAGACACTAAAAGGCTTTACTTCTTATCTTATTGTCTAGATATTTCTTTTGAATGCTTATTTTAACGCAAAATACACTGCTGTTTGGTTCTTATGCCTAAATGCAGTGATGATGTATCCGAGCTTTAAGAAACATCATGAAACACTTTTATAAACAGCTGGAATTTTACTCCTTAAAAAAGCACCCACTGACAAGAAACATGTGAGCTTATTACCCAAACTGCCAGAAATGATGAGATTATCTCAGTAAAAAATACAAAATATGTGGTAGGATAAATTATCTGCCATGTAATTGGGAAAGACCAGTCCCACGTAAACGTATTTTGAAGCAAGTCCAGGGAGAGAGCAACTGTAGGAGAACCATGCCT